GAAGCATGAGCTGGCCCTAGAAGGGCCCATGTGACAATGTTTTGCACCCATGGGGAGGAGATGCCAGGAGAACTGGAGCTGGGCCTGGAGAGGCCGAATTGAGAACCCAATGCTTGGGCCTGTAGAAGCCAATAGGAGGAGTCCGGACCCGGGCCTGGAGAAGCCGACTCTGGGACATCTGGAACCTGTAGGAACCCTGGCTGGGCAGAAGCTGAGCCTGGAGAGGCCAGGGTGAGGCATGAGCTGGGTAGTCTTGAGAGCCTGAGTCACGGGCCTGAGCTTTCGATCCTGCAAAGGCCTCCGGGAGCTGGGGAGGAGCCGAGTCCATAAAGGTTGCTGCGAGGCGAGATTGGAAGGTTGGCCCTTAGAAGTCGCCGGAAGGAGGGGCTTGGCCCCAAGAGGCTGACCTGAAGACATTCTGGACAAGGAGAGGATGCCAGAAGGCCAACGCTGGGCATGGAAGGGCCGCCTGGGGCCACTGGGAGGCTACAAGCTGGGCCTGTGAGGACAGGCTGCCACAGAGGCAGGAGCTGGGCTGAGGAGAGGCCATGATGAGGCCACAAGCTGGGTCTGGAGGGTCCACTGAGAGGCAGAGGCTGGGCCCGGAGGGGCCTAGCACAGGCAAAAGCCAGGCCTGGAGAGGCTGGGGCCCGGAGGAAGCTTCGGGCCTGGACAGGCCGCTGGGAGGCAGGAGCTGGCCAGAGAGTTTATGAGAGGCGAGCTGGGCCAAGAAAGGCTGGTGCGAGGGAGGACTTGGGTCCAGACTCAAGGCCAGCACCAGGCGAGAGCTGGCTCCAGAGACGTCCTGCAAAGGCATGAATTGAGCCTCAACTGGCCAGTGTGAGGGAGGCGCTGGGCCTGTGGATGCAGCCGGGATGCAGGCAAGGCAGGCAAGATCTTGGCCTGCGGAAGCAGCCAGCAGGCAGCAGCTGGGGCTGGGGAGGCTGGGGGGACTCCAGAGCTCAGCCCTGAGGCCCAGTCCTGCTTTGTCCTCCCTGCTGGCCTCGGGAGGCCCAAGCATCGGGTCATGACGTCCGCGTCTGCAGGTCCAGCTCCTGCCCTCCCGGCGGCACCCCCCGACATGGGCACAATACATCATCACATGGTCCCCTCCGGGGCCAGCTCTGGCATCCCAGTGGCCCCTGGAACCCAGGTCCTGATTCCCATCAGGTGGCCTCTCCAGGAGCCCCAGCCTCTGCCTCCCTACTGGCAGCCACACCAGGCCTGGCACCTCCTCCTGGCCACGTCTACAGGCCCAAGTTTTGCCCCTGGCAGCGTCTTTTGGCTTGGCTCCTGGCCAGCTCCCAGAGGCCTTTCGTCTGTCGGCCCAAAGCTTCCTCAGGTGGGGCCTTCTGGGCGTCCCTTCTGCCTCCCGGTGGCCTCAACAGAAGGGACACTGAGGAAGCTTTGGGCCGACAGACGAAAGGCCTCTGGGAGCTGGCCAGTAGTCAAGCCAAAAGAGGCTGCTGGGGACCAGGCACAGTAGCTCACGCCTGTAATCCCAACATGTTGGGAGGCCGAGGCAGGTGCATCACGAGGTCAGGAGATCGAGACCATCCTGGTCAACATGGTGAAACCCCGTCTCTACTAAAAATACAAAAAATTAGCTGGGCATGGTGGTGCGTGCCTGTCATCCCAGCTACTCAGCAGGCTGAGGCAGGAGAATTGCCTGAACCCAGGAGGGAGAGGTTGCAGTGAGCTGAGATCATGCCATTGCACTCCAGCCTGGGCAACAAGAGCAAAACTCCGTCTCAAAAACAAAAAAACAATTAGTTGGCCATGGTGGTGCTGTGCCTGTAATCACAGTTACTCAGCAGGCTGAGGCAAAAGAACTGCCTGAACCCAGGAGGCAGAGGTTGCTGTGAGCCGAGATCGTGCCATTGCACTCCAGCCTGGGAAACAAGAGCAAAACTCCGTCTCAAAAACAAGAAAAATTAGTTGGCCATGGTGGTGCGTGCCTGTAATCCCAGTTACTCTGGAGGCTGAGGCAGGAGAATTGCCTGAACCCAGGAGGCAGAGGTTGCGGTGAGCCAAGATCGCACCATTCTACTCCAGCCTGGGTAACAAGAGCGAAACTCTGTCTCAAAACAAAAAGAAAAAGAAATTAGCTGGGTATGGTGGCGTGTGCCTGTAACTCCAGCTACTCAGGAGGCTGAGGAAGGAGAATTGCCTAAACCCAAAAGGCGGAGGTTGAGGTGAGCTGAGATCACGTCATTGTACCTGCGCCTGGGAAACAAGAGCAAAACTCCATCTCTTAAAAAAAAAAAAAAAAAAAAGAGGCTGCCGGGGGCAAAACTTGGGCCCGTAGACGTGGCCAGGAGGAGGATCCAGGCCTTGAGAGGCCGCCAGTACAGAGGCAGATGCTGGGCCTTCAGGAGAGGCTGATGGGAGGCAGGAGCTAAGCCCAGGGGGCCTTTGGGAGGCATGAGCTGGCCCTAGAAGAACCCACATGACGACGTTTGCACCCATGGGGAGGAGACACCAGGAGAACTGGAGCTGGGCCTGGAGAGGCCGAATTGAGAACCCAATGCTTGGGCCTGCAGAAGCCAATAGGAGGAGTCCGAAACCGGGCCTGGAGAAGCCGACTCTGGGACATCTAGGGCCTATAGGAACACTGGGTGGGCAGAAGCTGAGCCTGGAGAGGCCAGCGTGAGGCATGAGCTGGGTAGTCCTGGAGAGCCTGAGTCGAGAGCCTGAGCTTTTGGGCCTACAAAGGCCTCCAGGAGCTGGGGAGGAGCCAAGCCACAGAGGGTCCACTGAAAGGCAGAGGCTGGGCCCAGTATGGGCCTGGCGCAGGCAGGAGCTGGGCCTGGGGAAGCCGGGAGGCAGGAGCTGGCTCCAAAGAGTCCATGATAGGCAAGCTGGGCTGAGGAAGACCCCTGCGAGGGAGCAGCCTGGGCCTAGACTCAAGGCAAGAGTGAGGCAAGAGCTGGGTCCAAAGAGGTTTGCCACAGGCATGAGCTGGGCCCCAATGGGCCACTGTGAGGGAGGCGCTGGGCCTGTGGACGCAGCCAGAATGCAGGCAGGCACGATCTTGGTCTGGGGAAGCCACCAGCAGGCAGCAGCTGGTGCTGGGGAGGCTGCGGATGAGTCCAGAGCTGGGCCCAGAGGGGCCAATGTCAGGTGGTAGCAGGGCCTGTCAAGGCCACCAGGAGGCAGAACAGAGGCCTGGAAAGCCCCACTTGAGAAAGCTTCGGGCCTACAGAAGAAAGGCCACTGGAAGCTGATCAGGAGCCGAGCGAAAAGCAGCTATCGGGAGGCAGGATGTGGTCCAGTAGACGAGGCCAGGAGGAGCATCCGGGCCTGCGGAGGCCGCCAGAAGGAAGACATAGGCTGGACCTCCCGGAGAGGCTGAGGGGAGGCAGAAGCTGGGCCCCAGGGGGCCATTGGGAGGCAGCTAGCTGGCCCTGGAGGCACCCATGTGAGGATGTTTGCCACCAATGGGAAGGAGACGCCAGGAGAGCAGGAGCTGGGCCTGGAGAGGCCGACTTCAGGACCCAATGCTTGTGCCTCCCGAGGCCAGGGGGAGGAGGCAGCAGCAGCCAGGCCTGCAGAAGCCGACTCGGGAACGTCTGGGGCCTAGAGATGCCCTCGGAGGGCAGGAGCCAAGCCTGGGGAGGCCACTCGTGAGGCATGAGCCAGCTGGGCCTGGAGAGCCTGAGTCAAGTCTGAGCTTTCAGGCCTACAAAGGCTGTCAGGGAGCTGGACAGGAGTCGAGTCCACAGAGGTTGTTGTGAGGCAAATTTGGAAGTTGGGCCCATAGCCGCCGAGAGGTGGAGCTGGGCCCTGAGAGGCCTACCTGAAGACATCCTGGGCCCAGAGAGGAAGTCAGCAGGCCAATGCTGGCCCCAGGAGGACCACCGGGATGCACCAGGCTTGACCCGATGGGGCCATGGGGAGGCTGGGGGCGGGGCCTGTGGATACAGGCTGTCACAGAGGCAGGAGCTGAGCCTGAGCAGAGGCCACGGTGATGCCACTGAGCTGGGCCTGGAGGGTCCACTGAAAGGTGGAGTCTGGGCCCGGAGGGGCCTGATGCAGGCAGATGCCAGGCCTACGGGGGCCGGGCCTGGAGAGGAACCTTCGGGCCTGGACAGGCTGCCAAGAGTCAGGAGCTGGCCTGGGAGAGACTGATGATAGGTGAGCTGGGCTGAGGAAGGCCGCTGCGAGGGAGGACCTGGGCCTAGACCGAGGCCAGCGTGAGGTGAGAGCTGGGTCCGGAGAGGTTTGCCACAGGCACAGGCTGGGCCCCAATGGCCACTGTGAGGGAGGTAGTGGGCCTGTGGAGGCAGGATGCAGGCAGGAAGGCAGTCAGGATCTTGGCCTGGGGAAGCCGTTGGCAGGTAGCAGCTCGTTCATGAGGAGGCTACAGGGATGCCAGATCTGGCCCCGGAGAGGATATTGTCAGGTGGTAGTTCGGCCTGTCCAGGCCACCGGGAGCTGGTCAGGAGCCGAGTCAAAAGAGGCTGTCGGGAGGCAGGACATGGGCCTGTAGACATGGCCAGGAGTAAGAGCCAAGCCTGAGGATGCCGCCAGGAGTGATCAGAGGCTGGGTCTCCTGGGGAGGCCGACAGGGGTCCAAGGGGGCCATTGGGAGGCAGGAGCTGGCCCAGAAGGGGCCCACATGAGGAAGTTTTGAGCCTGGAGAGAACACCTAGTGGGTAGGAGCTTGGCCTAATGAAGTCAGTGTTAGGCAGCAGCTGGGCCTCTCAAGGCTGCTGGGAGGCCGGCAAGAGCTTTGCCAGGGAAACGTTCATGAGGTAAGAGTTGGTCCTGGAGAGTCTATTGTCATCCAGTAGCTATGCCTGTTTAAGCCATTGTTCCTCAGAAGTTTCTGCTGGGGAACTTGAGTTGAGAAAGTTTTTGGCCTACAAAGGCCACCAAGAGCTGTGTAGGAGCTGATCCAAAGGAGGGTGTCAGGCAGGAGTTGGTCCTGGAGATGCAACTGGGAAGAAGAGCTAGACATCAAAAGGAAGTTCTGGGCCTGGAGACACTGCCAAAAAGTAAAAGCTTGATCAGAATGGCCGTTGTGATGCATGAGCCTTCACCTAGACAGGCCATTGGGAGGCATTAGCTGGGCCTGCAGATGCTGCTGAAAGGCAGGAGCTTGGCCTGGGGGCACTGTGGTGAGGCACACGCTTGGCCTGGGGTGTCTGCTGTGAGGCAGAGTTTAAGCCTATTGGGGCCGACTGGAGGCAGGAGTTGGACCTGGAATGGCAGATTTGAGAAATCTGTCAGTCCGGAGAGGCCACAGAGATGCAGGAAACTGGGCCTCAAGAGGCCGCCGAAAGGCATGAGCTGTACCTAAAGAGTCCAGTGTGAGACAGAAGCTGTGCCTGAAGAGGGTGACTAGAAGTTTTGGCCTGGACAGCCTGTCAGGGGACAGATGCTGGGTCTGGAGAGGCCACTGTGAGCTGGTCCTAATGAGGTTAGAGTGAGGCAACACTTGGGCTTGTCAAGGCTACCAGGAGGCAAGTAGAAACCTGTTCAAGGAATACCTGTGAGGCAAAAGCTAGGCCTGCAGAGGCCACTGGGAGGAAAGAGCTGGGCCTGTCCAGGTCATCGGAAGGCTCAAGGTGGGCCTGAAGAGCTTGACCTTGAGGCAGTTGGATCACGAGGTCAGGAGATCGAGACCATCCTGGTCAACATGGTGATACCCCGTCTCTACTAAAAATACAAAAAAGAACTGATGTCAGAGAAGTAAGAACATTACAGTGTGTGTTGAAGTACCTGTAAAACATTGTTTCTTTGCCTTTGTAAACAATGTGTCTACTAAAAGTCCTTGCTTTCAAAAGAATATGTGGGAATAAATCATTAGAATGTATTCTTCTGTTTTTTACTTTTATCTTCCTGCCACAAGGCTTACTTTAGAAATTTTTATTTTTTTAGAAAATTGAACAAGTGCTCGTTGTGGTGGATCATGCCTCTAGGATGGGAGGCAGGGGTGGAAAAGTCACTAGAGGCCAGGAGTTTGACACCAGCCTGACCAACAAAGTGACATCCAATGTGTATGAAAACATTTAAAAATTAACCAGGTGTCATCATGTATAGCTACAGTCCAGCTACTCAGGAGGCTGAGGCAGGTGGATCCTTAGCTCAGGAGTGCAAGCCTGCAGTGACCTGTGATTGCACCACTGCACTCCAGCCTGGTGACAGAGTGAGACCCCATATCCTAAAACAAAACAAAACAAAACAAATAGATCACGTAGCAAGTTGTATGTGGCTTACTCTGAACATTTCTAAACTAGAAGTTCTCAGAGTAATGCTTCTAAATCTTTTGGGGTCTAGCATCCCGTTACATTTTTTAACTTTATGTAAGATTTCTAAGACTTTTTCTTTACATAAATAATTACATTAAAGTTAAAAAATAAAACAAACTTTTAAAAATATTTTTATTCATTACATATTAATAATAAAAACATTACATGTTATTATAACTAATATGAAACAAACATTTTAAAATATTTTATTGATTACCTATTAATAATAAAACTGGTTGGGCGAGATGGCTCATGCCTATAATCCCAGCACTTTGGGAGGCCGAGGTGGGTGGATCACCTGAGGTCAAGAGTTTGAGACCAGCCCTCCAACATGCTGAAACCCTGTCTCTACTAAAAAATACAAAATTAGCCAGGTGTGGTGGCAGGCACCTGTAATCCCAGCTACTTGAGAGACTGAGGCAGGAGAACTGCTTATACCCAGGAGGCAGAGTTTGCAGTGAGTCAAGATCATGCCATTGCACTCTAGCCTAGGTAACAAGAGCAAAACTCCACCTTAAACAATAATAATAAAATTATTAAGTAGTAATATAAGTAATCCTTTTGTTTCTTTGAGACAGAGTCTCGCTCTTTCCCCAAGGCTGGAATGAAGCATGTAATCTCGGTTCACTGCAATCTCTGCCCCACCTCCCGGTTCAAAGGATTCTCCTGTCTCAGCCTCTGAAGTAGCTTGGATTACAGGCACCTGCCACCATGCCTGGCTAATCTTTGTTTTTTTGTCTTGTTTTTCGTTTTTTTTGTTTTGTTTTGTTTTGTTTTTTGACGGAGTTTTGCTCTTGTTACCCAGGCTGGAGTGCAATGGCGCGTTCTCGGCTCACCGCAACCTCCGCCTCCTGGGTTCAGGCAATTCTCCTGCCTCGGCCTCCTGAGCAGCTGGGATTACAGGCACATGCCACCATGCCCAGGTAATTTTTTGTATTTTTAGTAGAGACAGGGTTTCACCTTGTTGACCACGATGGTCTCGATATCTTGACCTTGTGATCCATCTGCCTCGGCCTCCCAAGTAATCTTTGTTTTTTAGTAGAGATATGGTTTTGCCATGTTGGCAAAGCTGGTCTTGAACTCCTGACTTCAGGTAATCTACCCACCTCATTCTCCCAAAGTGTTGGGAATGCAGGCGTAAGTCACTGCACCCGGCCCGATTAACATATTTTTTAAAACACTGATTAGTCAGGCAACAACACTGGGCAGGGGTCTCCTCATTCCCAGTGATAAAAACCCCACGGCATGGCTCCAGGGTTGCAAGGGCTGCAGAGCCAAAAGGCTCTGACTTGAGATTTTCATTACTTTATTTGTATTGCTGAGACAAGGTCCTGCTTTGCCACCCAGGCTGGAGTGCAGCTGTGCACTTATAGCTCACTGCAGCCTCAATGTCCTGGGCTCAAGCCATCTTCCTGCCTCAGCTCCCCAGTGCTGGTACTACAGTTGAGTGCCACCACACCTGGCTAATTTCTTATTTTTTTTTGTAGAGTGCGGAGTCTTGCTATGTTGCCCAAGCTGGCCTCAAACTCCTGACCTCAAGAGATCTGCCCACCTCAGCCTCCTGAGTAGCTGAGACTACAAGTACACATCACCATGCCTAGCTACATTTATTTTATTAAATTTTGAAAAATATTTTTGTAGAGAGGAGGTCTTGCTATGTTGCCCAGGCTGGTCTTGAACTTCTGCCCTTAAAAGATACTCCCATCTCTGCTTCCCAAACATCTGGGACTACAGACATGAGCCACTGCACTGCGCCTGAAGAGATTTCTTTAATCTAGCATCCCATATTTGGTAACACTGGGAAAGGCAGTAGAGTTTTTAAAAATTACTTAATAATTCAGTAAGAATCAAACTCAACCTCGACCCCTGCCTTCTCTCACACCCCACATCCAGACTGTCAGGAAATCCCGTTCACTGTCTTCACCATGTACTGAAGATCCCCACCTAGCAACTCCCTGGACTCCTCCCCTACTTCTCTCCTCTGACTACCTCTCACCACCACCATGACCCTGGTCAGGACCACTATCATCTTCCACCTGGATGTTACCACAGTCTGACCCCCATGCTTCCACCCAAATCTTCCCACAGTCTTTCTCAACTCAGCAGCCAGGGAATGCTTTTACATCAGGAGACAGATCATGTCGCCTCTCTGCTCAGAACCCTCCCACAGTTCCCATCTCATAGTAAAAGCCAAAGTCCCAGCAATAACCTCCCAGGGCTTACATGATCTATACTGATCCCCACCCAGCAACTCCATGGCTTCCTCCCCTAATTCTCTCCCCATCTCCTGCTCCACTGGCCTCCTTCCAGAGCCTCAGACACTTTATTCTGCTGTTTCTGCCCACAATGCTCCTCCAGCACCTCGGCCAGCTCCTTCCCCTCCAAGTCTTTGCTCAATTTTCACTTAGGATGCCACCCCTGACCTTTCTATTTAACATTGCCATCTGTCCCTACTCCCACCGTGTTCATTTAAAAAAAAAAAAACAAAACAAAAAAACAAAAAAACAAGATTTCACTCTATCACCAAGGCTGGAGCAGAGTGGTGCAATCAGAGCTCACTGCAACCTTGAATTCCTAGGCTCAACTGATCCTCCCACCTCAAGACTCCCTAGTAGCTGAAACGACAGGTGCATGCCATCATGTCTGGCTAATTTGTTTTATTTTGAAATGGAGTTTCAATCTTCTTGCCCAAGCTGGAGTGCAATGGTGCAATCCCAGCTCACTGCAACCTCCACCTCCCAGGTTCAAGTGATTCTTAAGCCTCAGCCTCCCAAGTAGCTGGGATCACAAATGTGTGCCACCATGCCCGGCTAATTTTTGTATTTTTAGTAGAGATGGGGGTTTGCCATGTTGACCAGGCTGGTCTCGAAATCCTGCCCTCAGGTGATCCTTGGCCTCCCAAAGTGTTAGGATTACATGAGTGAGCCACTACACCCGGTCAATTTAATTTTTTGTAGAGACAGGGTCTCACTATGTTGCCCAGGCTGATCTTGGACTCCTGGCCTCAAGTGATCCTCCTGCCGGGATTCCTAAAGTGCTAAGATTACCAACATCACCCACGATGCTTGGCATCAGGTTTATTTCCTCCTGCTGCTGCCACAAACTACCCTACATTAGTCCCTTAAAACACCACAAATCTACCAACTTACACTTCTGGGAATCAGAAGCCCAAATTAGGTCTATTAAGGCTAAAGTTAAGGTGTCAGCAGGGCTGCATTCCTTCTGGAGGCTCTAAAGTATTCCCTTGGCTTTTCCAGATTCTAGAAGCCACCCCCATTTCTTGGATCATGGCCCTTAACTCCATCTTCAAAGCCAGAAGTGAAACATCTGCAAATCTCCCTCCCTAACTCTGCTTCCACCAACACATCTCCTGCTTCAATTCTCACTCTTTTAACCTTTTTCTTTTATAAGGATCTTTGTGGCTGCTGGGCATGGTGGATCCCACCCATAACCCCAACACTTTGGGAAGTCAAGGCAGGAGGAACATTTAAGGCCTGGAGTTTGAAACTAGCCTGGACAACATAGTGAGATCCCACCTCTACAAAGGCATAAAAATCAGTATTACCCAGACATGGTGGTGTGCACCTGCAGTCCCAGCTACTTGAGAGGCTGAGGTGAAATAACGGCTTTAGCCCAGGAGTTTGAGATCAGCCTGGGCAACATAACTAAATCTCGTCTCTACAAAAATAAGCTTGGCATGGGTGGCATGCATGTGTAGTCCCAGCTACTCTGAAGTCTGAGTGGGAAGATCACTTGAGCTCAGGAGGTCAAAGCTATCATGAGCTATGATCATATTACTGTGCTCCAGCCTGGATGACACAGGGAGAGTCTGCCTCAAAAAAAAAGAAAATATATATTTGCTCTCTGTCCCTGGTTCCTGGCACAGAGCTTTGAATGCTTATAAACACCTCAGTAGTAGAGGTGATAGGAGCATCTTTAGTTTTAATATTTGGTCTTGGTCCCAGCTTTCTAACACAAGAGACTCTAAGAACTTTGGGATCTCCAGCATGCTAAGAATGCATTTGGGGATGTGGTTGAGATGACTGGGTGGCTGCACGCTCCTGGATTTCTTCAGGAGGAGGGCTGATTGCCAGAGAAAGCAATCACATGATTAGAGGCTTAGAACTTTTAGCCTCACCTGCTGAACTCCAGGAGGTGAGAGTGGCTGAAGATTGACTTAATTACCAATGGCCAAAGATTTTATCAATCAGGCTTGCATAACAGAGCCTCTGTAAACACCCTGAACAACAGGGTTTGCAGAGCTTCTGGTTGCTGAATACAGGAGGTGCTGGCAGGGTGGCATGTTGAACAGAGGGCATGGAAGCTCTGTGCACCTCCCACTTACCTTCCCCTGGGCATCCATCTTTCTTTCATTTCTTTCTTCCTTTCCTTCCTTTCTTTCTCCTCTTTCTTTCTTGTTTTTAAAGACAGGGTCTGGCTCTTTTGTTCAGGCTAGAGTGCAGTGGCACAATTTCAGCTCACCACAACCTAAGTTTCCCCAGTCCCCAGCTCAATGCATCCTCACCTCAGCTTTCCTAGTAGCTGGAACAACAGGTGCACACCACCACACCTAGTTAGTTATTTTCATTTATTTTTTGAGAAAAAATCTTGCTCAGCAGCTTCGGCTAAAGTGCAGTAGCGTGATCTCAGCTCACTGCAACCTCTGCATAATGGGTTCAAGTGATTCTCCTGCCTCAGCCTCCTGAGTAGCTGGGATTACAGGTGCATATCAACATGCCCAGCTAATTTTTGTATTTTTTATAGAGAGAGAATTTCACCATGTTTCCCAGGCTGAACTCTAACTCCTGCGTTCAAGCGATCCTCCCAACTCAACCTCCCGAAGTGCTGGGATCACAGGCATGAGCCACTGCATCCAGCATGCACATCTCTTTCACTGGCTGTTTCTGAGACATATCCTTTACAGTGAACCAAAAATAGGATATGAACTCACCAGATGTGGTGGCTCACATCTGTAATCCCAGCACTTTAAGTGACTGAGGTGCGAAGATCACTTGGGCCCAGGAATTTGTGGCCAGCCTGGGCAACAAAACAAGATCCCATTGCTAAAAAAAATAAATAAATAAATTAGCCAGATGTGGTGCAGGCTGCAGTCTCAGCTACTAGGAAGGGGGAGGACCCCTTGGGCCCAGGCAGTTGAGGCTGCAGTGAGCTATGACTGCAACACCGCACACCAGCCTGGGCAACACAATGAGACCCTGTCTCTCAGAAAAAAAGAAAATAAACTGTTCTTCTGAGTTCTGTAAGCTGTTCCAGCAAATGATTAAATCAAAGAAGGGGGTCATGAGAACCCCTGATTTGTAATAGGTTGGTCAGAAGTACAGGTGAAAACCTAATACTTGCCATTGGCATCTGAAGTGAGGGTTAGTCTCATGGGACTAAACGCCTAACCTGCAGGGTCTGCGCCAGCTCCAGGTAGTGTCAGAATAACACTGTGGGATACCCAGTTAATATCCAGAACACTGGAGAATTTGGTGTATAAGCTCCACACACACAGTCAGTCAAAGTGTGTGATGAGAGAAACACTGGGCTTTTCTTTCACCTACCTGCCTAACTGCATAGGAGAAGCAATACATGGTGCTCACTGAAAAGAGCAAGCATTAAAGTCAAACCAGTCCCTACATCTGACTCAGCTTAATATCGCATGTGAGCTTGGGCAAATCACTCATTATCCCTAAGTCTGTATCACCTCATTCAGAAAATGGGGATAACTGGTACCTGCCTGTGATTTTGTGAGAATTCATGAAATATTATGCTTGATGTTACTGTGATCATCACACCTATTCCAAACTATCTGACAGAAACAGTGATGGATGATAACATCACCAGATTAGAAACTGTAGTGAGGTCTCTCAGGCAAAATTCCATACAAGCAAATTACTGTCTCTCCAAAGCATTCCTGCCAAACTTAATTCCCCATTCCCTGAACCAAATGTGCCATCTTAATTGTCCAGGTCTTTAAAGTGCTGGTTGCCCTGACCATTCCCCATCCCTCCACATCCCCCTCCGCTCCCTACTCTCACACAACTCTTCCTCATCTTTCAAAAGCCAGTTTCACTGTCACCTTATCTGGAAGCTTCTCCCACTCTCCAGAAGAGCTTCCCATTGCACTTGACGCATGCGCTATTGCTTGATCATTTTTGAGTTATTGTCCAAGTCTTTTTGTACCTGAATAACATGATGCCCAGTCTCCTCCTGAACTCTGATGTCTTTCATAGTAGATCCAGCTGGAAGTGACAAAAAGACATTCTTTAAAAATAAAAGAAGGAATCAGGCAATCCCATAAAAGTTTTAAAAGATATGTGAAAAGCAAACAAAATTCAAGAGCTTCTAGGAAAAACATAAGAGGGAAGGTGTTACTGGGAAATATGCTAAAGGGTTAATTTTTATTGTATTTTACTTTTTTGAGAAAGAATCTTGCTCTATCCCCTAGGCTGAACCGCAGTGGTACAATCACAGCTCATTGCAGCCTCAACCTCCAGAACTTCAGCAATCTTCCAACCTAATTTTTACTTTATTTAAGAAACACATTCTTACTGTTACCAAAGCTGGAGTGCAGTGGTGTGATCACAGCTTACTGCAGCCTCGACCTCCTAGGCTCAAGTGATCCTCCAGTCTCAGACTCCCCAGTAGCTGGGATTACAGGTGTGGACCGCCATGTCCAGCTCACATTATCTTTAATTTTTATTAGGAACAATGTGCCGCTATGTCGACGAGGCTGGTGGTGATCCTTTTCCCTCAAGCAGTTCTCCCACCTCAGCCTTCCAAAGTGCTGGGATTACAGGTGTGAGCTGCCACACCTGCTGAGGAGGTTAATTTTTAATGACATAAAGAGCTCAAAGCAAATATTAGAAGGAGCCTAAATGGCTATAGAGGCTGACTGGTCAACTGTGATATATCCATATAATAAAACATTAGCCAACCATGAAAAGGATTCAGATACATCAATAGAAATTGACACAGATGTCCACGAAATATGAAAATGAGAAGTGATATTCAAGCAGCCCATATGTATTTGAAGAATTTGGCCAATTATTTCCTGAGATAAGATTATGGGTCTAAAGAGTAAACGAAATTTTTCACTTCTTCATTTAAAAGTATTTACTATTTTTATAATTTAATAAAAGGTTAAATATATAGATCATCTAATTAGTAAAAGGCATGTTAACTCTACAAATAAACAGAAAAGACATGGACAGCCCAACCTTGGTGGCTGATGCTTATAATAGCAGCACTTTGGAAGGGGGCAGTCGGAGAATTGCTTGAGGCCAGGAATTCCAGACCAGACTGGGAAACATAGCAAGACCTCGCCTCTATTAAAAATCAAAAAAATTAGCCAGACATGGTGGCATGTGCCTATAGTCCCAGTTACTGAGGTGGAAGGATCGCCTGAGCCCAGGAGGTCAAGGCTGCAGTGAGTCGAGACTGTACCACCATACTCAAGCCTGGGCTACAGAGTGAGACTTGGTCTCCCAAAAAAGGAGGGGGAGCAAAAAAGAAAGCTAGCTGGGCACAGTAGCTCACACCTCTAATCCCAGCATTTTGGGAGGCTGAGTCAGTTGGATCACGAGGTACGGAGTTCGAGACCAGCCTGACAAACATGGAAAAACCCTGTCTCTATTGAAAATACTTAGCCAGGTATGGTGGCACATGCCTGTAATTCCAGCTATTCTGCAGACTGAGGCAAGAGAATGGCTTGAATCCAAGAAAAGGAGGTTGCAGTCAGCAGAGGTTGTGCCGTTGCACTCCAGCCTAGGCAACAAGAGTGAAACTTCATCTGAAAAAGAAAGAAAGAAAAAAAAAAGAAAGCTAATAAGCTAATATAAGAAAATATATATTAAAATGTAACAAAAAGTATTAACGAGGTCTTTTATTTACTAAAAATAAGTAAACAATAAATAACTTGTTATTGTACCCTGTGCCAGCAAAGGTGCAGTGAAATGGGCATTTTCTTTTACTATTAGTGATGTTTAAATTGTATACAAGCCATCCACCAGGGTAAAGCTTGGAAATTTTTAAAATAGAATACAGTGACTCACTGTACTGCCTCCTCCAACTCTTGGCCTCAAACGATCCTCCTACCTCAGCCTCCCAAAGTGCTGGAATTATAGGCCGACAGCCACCATGCCTGAAAGCTCGGCAGTTTACATCAAGTATAATAAGAATGCTAATGTCCTGTGACTCACAGTAATCTCATTTCTGGAAATATCATCTTCGGATACAATTCAACCTCAACAAAGGTCATATGCACAAACAGTGAAAATCTAGGAGTAATATTTTTCTGTTTTAAAAACATATGGAACACTTCACAAATCTGCACGTCATTCTTGCACAGAGGCCATGCCAATCTCTCTATTGTTCCAACTTTAGGATATGTGCTACTGAAGCAAGCATGAGTAATTTAAGATAGAGCGGTTAGGCAAATAAGGAAGAATTATGGAAATTTAAAAATCTATGGTATTTATAGGCACCTAGTACAGCTCAGTAAATATCAGCTGCTACTTCTATTATTTTTATGGTCATTCCACTCAATTAAAAATTGTCATTAAAAATTTACCACTGTCATGGAACATCATGTATTTAACAGCATAATTGTGAAAACAGATAGAGGCTGTGTGCGGTGGCTCACACTTGTAATCCCAGCACTTTGGGAGGCCAAGGCAGGTGGATCACCTGAGGTCAGGGGTTCAAGACTAGCCTGACCAACATGGAGAAACCCCATCTCTACTACAAAATACAAAATTAGTCAGGTGCGATGGTGTCTGTAATCCTAGCTACTCAGGAAGCTGAGGCAGGAGAATCACTTGAACCTGGGAGGTGGAGGTTGTGGTGACCTGAGAGTGCACCATTGCTCTCCAGCCCGGGAGAAAAAGAGCAAAGCTCCATCTCAAAGAGAAAAAAAAGTCCCAGCACAGTGACTCACAGCTGTAATTCCAGCACTTTGGGAGGTTGAGGCCAGGTAGATCACCTGAAGTCAGGAGTTCAAGACCATTATGTTCTGGCCAACATAATAAAACCCTGTCTCTACAAAAATACAAAAATTAGCTCAGCATAATAGCAGGTACCTGTAATCTTAGCCTACTCTTAACCCTGGGATGTGGAGGTTGCAGTGAGCTGAGATTGTGCCATTGCACTCCAGCCTAGGCAACAGAGCAAGACTGTCTCAAAAACAAACAAAACAAACAAACAGATACAATTTGTCCCTTGGTATATGGGGAGATTGGTTCCAGCTGCCCAATATCCACGTATACCAAAATCCATGCAAGCATCTGTAGTCCCAGCTACTTGTGAGGCTGAGTAAGGATTGCTTTAGCCCAGGAGGTTGAGGCTGCAGTGAGCCATAATTGCACCACTGCACTCCAGTCTCGACAACAGAGTGAGAAAGAAGGTTGACTTTTAAATATAATTTTTCAGTTCACTTGAGATTTTGATCAGAACTGTGGCATATGAAAATTCTTCACAGAATAATTATCTAATCAAATTAATGCTAGAATTGGGAACAGAAAATGTTTTGTTGACTCTTTATTCCTTCACTTGCTGTTACATAAACTATTGCCAGTGGGCACTTACCAACCAGAAGTGTTATCTCAGAGCTACTCACAATGAAAGGTGATGTCCAGGGCCCAGCTGTGTTCAGGTCTCCATGCCTTGGCTATGGGTGAGTGGGACTTATATGTCCATCCATTTTCTATATTCCAGCTCTGGAAAACTTGGGTTTATCCATCTTGATAAGATGCACTTTAAATTTAACTTGTCAAGAACCACAAATGGAAGAAAGTTTATGAAACCATGGGATAGTACTTGTTCTCAAGGGACTCTTCAGCTTAGGTGCTTCTGTAAAAAAGCAACGACATTGTCAAAAACTCATCACAGGTCAGGTGAGGTACCTCATATCTATAATCCCAGCCCACTGGGAGACTAATACAGGAGGATCCCGTGAGGCCAAGAGTTTAAGACCAGCCTTGGCAACACAGTGAAACCTCATCTCTACAAAAAAAAAAATTAAAAAATGAGCTGGGCATGGCAGCACATTCCTATAGTCCTAGCTACGCTGGAGGCTTAAGTGGGAGAAGAGTTGAACCCAGGAAGTGGAAGCTGCTGTGAGCAATGATCTCACCACTACACTCCAGCCTGGGTGACAGAGTGAGACCGTGTCTACACACACACACCCCTCAGTCTATCCAGCCTTTCCAGTAATGAAAAGGGTCTTTTGGTTACAGAAGAGGTGTGCTCTTTTGTAGGACAGGAAGGGATCAGCAAGCGTGTTCACAGCCTTTCCTAATCCTCTGCTTAGTTTCCCAAGAACCTTCAAGGGAGTCCCGAGGGAAAAGACATAAATCTTCTGGTTACCAGAGGAGAAATATGCCTCCTTTGTCAATTAACAAATGGAACACCTGCCATGAAAACCAGGAAATTCTGCTAAGATGAACCACTCCCCACGACACTGACCTATGCAGAAAAAATGAGAAACTGGAGTTTGTGGACTAATAATATTAAAGGTCACATTCCAGATTGTAAAGATCTAACCAAAGTACAGCCTTTCCACAAGGCACTGCCAAATAACAGCTGGCTGTCTCCATGGGGCACTGCCGTATCTCTGGCTCTCATTTCCCTGAGAGATGCTCTATTCCAGCTTTCTCTTGCATTTTGTATTCTGTAGTTCCTAGGCTACGACCTCACAACATAGCAAACTGCTGACTCAATGCTGACCCACAGATCTGACTTCAGATTCTAGCAGGACTCTCAGTTTAAGAAATTAAAGAGGAGAAAAAAATGGACCCAGCCTGGCACTGCCAGCTTAGCAGTCCGAAGATAGAAGCTGCTCAAAATGACTACAGTGCTTCTGACTTTCTGAGTCTGCCCTTGCTCCTAGGGCTCTTTGGATGACATTTATTTCTCCTTGTGGAAAAAATGGTTTGCTAGAATATAAAAAATTTAAGGAAAAAAAAATATTAAAATATAATTTTGTCCTAAAGAGCACTCAAAAGTATACTCCCACTAGTGCTGGATCTATTTATCTCTCTCTTTTTTTTTCTTCTGAGATTGGGTCTCACTCTGTTACCAAGACTGGAGCACAGTGGTGAGATCACAGCTCACTGCAGCTTTCAACTCCTGGGCTCAAGCGATCCTCCCACTTCAGCCTCCCAAGTAGCTGGGATTACAGGTGCATGCCACCATGCCTAATTTTTTAAATTTTTTGTAGAGAAGGCCACTATGTGGCCTAGGCTGGTCTTGAACTCCTAGATCAAACTAATCCTCCTGCCTTGGCCCCACAAAGTGCTGGAATTATAGGCTTTAGCCACCACACCCAGTCTATTTACTTTAATATATATATATACACACACACACACACACATATATACACACACATATATATACACATACATATATATATATACACACATATATATGCATACACACACACACATATATATACATATATACATATATAAAATCTCATATGTTAAATGTTCCTCCTTAAATCGCCTCCTACCCACCCATCTGCAGGGAGCACAAACACAGCTCTCAGCAGATCAAGCAATCTACATGAAGAAAGGAGGCTGGAGTAATGCCAGAGCCCAGGAGGAAGTGTAGCAAATGGCAAGGTATTCACTTCAAAGGTTTTTCAACATTGTGATGATCAAACCAAACACAGAAACAGGAAGCCCAGTTCAGTCACCAGCGGCCAACATGGGATATTTGACCTACATGCTACAGGGCAAACTGTTTAGGATGAATGACCTTGTCTCCACCACCCCGTTCTTCAAGTCCCTCCTGCCCAGTAGTCCCTACACTCTGCTGACATGACCCACATTCACAGGACTCTCCTGACACCTTTGCTTGTTTAGTCTTTTTTCCCCAATGACTATTTTCTTTTTTGGATACAGAGTTCACCTCTGTCACACAGGCTTGAAGTAAAGTGAGGTGATTATGACTCATTGCAGATTCCATCTCCTGGGCTCAAGTGATCTTGCCTCCCAAGTAGTTGGGATTACAAGCATGTACCACCACACCTAGCTAAGTTTGTTATGATGATTATTTTCAGATGGAGTCTCACTATATCATCCAGGCTGGAGTGCAGTAGCACGATGTAGGCTTACTGCAAACTCCACCTCCTGGGTTCAAGTAATTCTCCTGCCTCGGCCTCCTGAGTAGCTGCGATTACAGGCATGCACAAGCAAGCCCAGCTAATTTTTGTGTTTTAGTAGAGATGGGGTTTCACCATGTTGGCCAGGATGCTCTCAATCCCTTGACCTTGTGATCCGCCCGCCTCGGCTTCCCAAAGTGCTGGGATTACAGGCATGAGTTGCTGTGCCTGGCCAACCTTTTTTATTTATAAACTATTCAGCCTCATATGTATGCTTATAACAATGCAAAATAGACTAATATAGCAATCGTATGCCAACACTTACCAGACTGTGAGGAGCACAATGACAGAAGTACAGAGTGGGCCTGAAATGCTCCCAAGGGGCTTCTTGTCGCATCATAGAGAATGGGGTGAGCACCTCGGCTGAGGCTAAAGATGAGAGTCAAAGAGTGATGATGAGGGTAGGGGAGGGTTTCCTGAAGGACACCAGTAAAGTCCCCCAAAGAAACTGACATTCCATGTGGCTGGAGGGTAGGCATATGGGGAGGGTGGTGCAGGATAAAACTGGAAAGGTAAACCGAGGCCAGCTCTTACCAGGCCCTGTGGCCAAATTACTTTGATTTTATCTTAAAGGCAATGGGCAGTCACCAGCAGGTTTTAATCAAGACCCATTGTGATCCAAACTTGCCTTTTAGAAAAATTCCTCTGGCTTCAGTGAATAGGCTGAAGTCAGCAAGCCTAGAAGTCAGGAAGACAATTGGAGGCCTTCAAAATAAACCAGTACCAAAGAAAACAGGGCCAGGCATGCTGGCTGCTGCCTATAATCTCAAAACTTTACAAGTCTAAGGTGGGTGGATGTCTTGAGCCCAGGAGTTTAAGATCAGACTGAGCAATGTGGTAAAACCACATCTCTACAAAACACAAAATATTAGTTGGGTGTGGTGGCTCATACCTGTGATCATAACTCAGCTACCCCAGAGGCTGAGGCAGGAGGCTAGCTTAAGCCCGGGAGGTTGAGACTGCAGTGAGCCAAGATCACATTGCTGTGCTCCAGCCTGGGCAACACAGGGAGACGGTCTCAAAAAGAAAAAGAATCCCATTCTTCACCTATTAGTGCCCCCAGGTTCTCATGAGAACCTTGGTGATGCAGTGAATTCAACTGTCACTGTAATTCAGCAATTCACACATTTAAGTTTGTGTTTGATTTTCAATATTATCAACCCTGTGGAAACAAGAAATAAGGAATTGTGTTTGGGCTATCACGGAAGTTCTCTGGATCTCAGACCATGACCTATGCTAAGACTTGAGCTTTGTGTTTCTCTCTCTGTGAGTGCTCAAGTGCAGCAGTCCCATTTTTTTGGCACCAGGGACCAATATTATGGAAGACAATTTTTCCACAGGCTGGGGGCAGGGGGCAGTTTTGGAATATTTCAAGCACATTACATTTATTGTGTACTTTGTAATTATTACATTGTAGTATATAATAATGATATAACTCACCATAATGTACAATCAGTGGGAGTCCTGAACTTGTTTGTTTTCCTGCAACTAGATGGTCCCATCTGGGGGTGATGAAAGATAGTGACAGATTATCAGGCATCAGATTCTCATAAAGACACAGCAAGGTAGAACCCTTGCATGCACAGTTACACAATAGGGTTCCTGAGCCTATGAGAATGTAATGCTGCCACTGACCTGACAAGAGGTGGAGATCAGATGGCAAAGAGGGGAGTGGCCATAGATACAGATGAAGCTTTGCTCACCCACCTGCTGCTCACCTCTTGCTGTGTGGCCAAGTACAGGCCTGTGATTCAGGGATTAGGTGCCCCTGCTCCATTGCATCCAAAAGGACCCTCTCCACAGCAGTCTTCATAGTGGTCAAGTACAGAAGCCACTTAGCTCCTAAGGCATGTGTCTCAGCTGGCATTTCATCACAATCAACAGGAAGTGGTAGCTTGAAACATTATGAGGTCACTTCCTAAAAATCACCAGCATCCCATTTCCATTGACAAGGAGCTCAACGTTGCCCCTTGGATAACCAAACCTATGTCCAGATCCCATTTGTGTGGGTCTTTCTCCCAGAACCCTTCCTAGCATCAGTTCTGTATTTGTCAGAGTCCAATCAAAAGACAAAAATCACCCAAAGTTTAAACTGGTAAAATTTAAAATAAAAAAATTAATTATATAACAAGGGAACACCATATGAGAGATTGGCTACAAAAGGAAAGAGAACTCTAGAGAACATAGGGCTAGCAGAGGACAGACATGGTGGCTCACGCTTACAATTCCAGCAATTTGGGAAGCCAAGGCAGGAGGACTGCTTGAGGCCAGCAGTTTGAGACCAGCCTCAGAAACATAGTGAGACCCTGGCTCTACAAAAAAAAAAAAAAAAAAAAAAAAAAAAAAAAAAAGCCAGGTGTGGTGGCACACACTTGTAGTCATAGTCACTTGGGAGGCTGAGGTGAAAAAATTGCTTCAGCCCAGAAGGTTAAGGCTGTGGTGAGCCATGATTTCACCACTGCACTTTAGACTAAGCAAAAGAGAGACCCTGCCTAAAAAAACAAATTATAGGACCAGCTGTTACAAGGAGCAGTAACTTCCTACTGTCCCTACACTGAGACAGAGTGAGCAAGGAAGGGATTCCCCACTAAGGCTGAGATCCAGACCCCCCCTTAAAGAAGGCACAGTCATGGGTAATTCAATGGCAGAATTGCTGCATTACCACATGGTGGAACATGCTAGCAATATGCCCTCTGGAGTTTGCTGAAAATCCACCATCTAGGGTGCTAGCTTAACCTATTAGTAAACAGTTGTCTCACTAGAAAACCACCCAGGCAAATGCAGAGAAACTGCTGGTCACTGTGTGCTGCTAAGCACCATGCAGGGCAGGAGCCTGGTGCTGGAAAAGCTCAGTGCCTGTGAAGATTTGCACACAACTAGAAAGAAAAGCCTCTTATAATGCCCCTCTAGCACCATGTACTGACAACATTTAATAACGCGCCAGTTGACAGAGGAAGCATTTAAGGAACCCACCTCTACGTTTGCAGAGCAGGCAGTCAACAGTGAATTTGGAACTGAGGAGCAGTCATTGGATGAATTACTGGTACATGACACATTTCCATCTACCAAAGAAGGAAGGGAAGAGAGAAAAATGAGAAGAAAAACAGGCATGGTGGTTCACACCTGTAACTGCAGCAGTTTGAAAGGCCAAGGCAGGTGAATCACTTAGGTCCAGGAGTTTGAAACCAGCCTGGGTGACATAGAGAAACCTTGTCTCCACTAAAAATAAAAATAATTAGCTGAATATGGTGGCATGTGCTGTAGTCCCAACTTCTCAAGAGACTCCTGGGTTCAAGCAATTCACCTGCCCCAGCCTCCCAAGTGGTGGGGATTATAAGTACGAACCACCATGCTCAGCTAACTTTTGTATTTTTAGTAAAGACAGGATTTCACCATGTTGGTCACATCAGTCTCAAACTCCTGACCTCGTGATCTACCCACCTCAGCCTCCCAAAAGCTTCTGCTCTGTCTTTGCCCCCTTAATCTAAGAAAACTAAGCTAAAATAAATTTTGTAACCAAACCAAAATGAAGCTAAGTGGTGTGGCTACTATACTCAAAAGACTTGAAATTCTCTTCACCAAAAAATAACTATCTGGAAGCCAAGAATGACTATCTGGAAGTCAGCATCCTCAGAGTACATTTCAGAGGCAAACTAGAATATGTCAGTGTAAACTATGAAAGTCCAGAGCCTTTGTTTGAGTAAAACTAGGTGCAGCAAAACCATGGGCTCCATGCATGCCTGGTATTGTAAAGGAGGCCACAGGAACTAGAATTAAATATGACACCATCGGCCAGGCACAGTGGCTCACACCTGTGATCCCAACACTTTGTGAGGCCGAGGTGGGCAGATCGTTTGAAGTCAGGAGTTTGAGAGCAGCCTGGCCAATATAGTAAAACCTCATCTCTACTAAAAATATAAAAACTAGCCAGGCATAATGGCAGGTGCCTGTGATCCCAGCTACTTGGGAGGCTGAGGCAGGAGAATCACTTGAATCCAGGAGGCAAAGTTTGCAGTGAGCTGAGATCACACCACTACATTCCAACCTGGGCAACAGAACAAAATTCCATCTGCAAAGTTTCTTCTAAACTCAATTTAGGGCACCATGTACCACAAACCAGATAGCAAGAAATTAAATAAATTTTAGCCTTTTTCATGCCATCCAATTACATCTTGGTCAGTTCACAAACATGTTTCGGCAAATGCTGGAGGAGTTTTTCTCTTTAGGAGTCCTCTCTCACTTTACCCTGCTTAACAGAAGACTTCACACACAAAGAGAATGGAGACAGCCCTGCTTCAGGACATGCTACACGAAGAGAACTGACTGTCCCAAAGAGAGGGCTCCACACCCCTCTGACAACTCCACAATAGACCATCTACACACAAATGCCTGAAGTAAGGAAGTCCATTAAGAAAATGAACAGTTGGTGAGATCAAGACTTCTGAACAAAAGGGTCTGCAGCTGGTCTGATGATTCATCAAAAAATCTGAATTTAAATGGAGACATATTGGACTGTGACATGTAATAAAAGAACTGAAGCAGCAAAGTGTCTTGACGTGTGTTTCCTTTCCACTGTATACAGCTCCAATGAATAGAGAAGTGAGCATGCCTGTGGTACTCCTGACACATCTGGGATAGTTCCCATCCACAGTGGTCAACCTTTGGGATTATCCACACATTGCAGGGTCATTATCCATCTATGCTAACCTAGAATGTCCGGATAAAAGCTTCTGTTTGGAGACTGGAGAGAAAAATGTCAAACCTGAAAGCCCATGAACTGTCTCAGCCAGGGGGAACACACGAAGGAAACACTACAGAATCTGACATCAGAAGCCTAATTTCAGGTTGTCCTCTGAAGTTTTACGATTGTGAGTAATCAGCTTACTTTCTCTAGGCTCTGTTATTCTCACATCAATAAATAGACAAGCAGACTGAATAGTCTCCCAGATCAATTCCAATCTTAACATCCTCTGGCTTTATGATTAAAGAATGATACTAATTAGTAAGGTTGAAACTGTGGCTTAACCCCAATAGGAGCCCGCTGGGATTATGCTAAGCAAAACTAGTCCACATAGAGCCATTCTGACCACATCGTCCCTGTGCCAGCTATCATACAGATATGCACCACTGGTATGAGAAGTCCTTCCACAGGAGACTGACTGATTCAATAATAGGCTGATTTATTCATTCAAACAACAAATATTTACTGAGCACCTTCTAGGGATTTAGGGTTACAACAGAACAGAACAGAACAGAACAGAACAGAACAGAACAGACAAAATCCCTTCCCTTACTTACCTTTTAGTGAAGGAGGAGGGGGAGTCAGACATCAAATAGGAAGTATAATTAAAAATATATTTTATGTAGGGCAGTGCTGGGATTCACTCAGGGTGGCTGGAAAAATATTAAAGGAAATATTAAGGAAGTATAGAATGCAGTATCAAACGTTTGAAAAGCCAAGTTTTAATGAGCCAGGCTGAAGACAGCCAGTTCTTACATTCGAGCTTTAAGTCATAAGGTGAAGATTAAGATGATAAAAGCTTCCCTGGTTGAGTCTGTTTACCCCACATTCCTTTTTCTCTACTGCGTTTACTCATGTAAACTTCATGCTAGCTGCTCCTCTAAGGGGGAGGTTGAAAAAGAATTACTTCTTAATGGTGTTTATTCTGGACCTCAGAACCACAAGTTTTTATCATTCTTAAAACCACTCTTTCAACCATGTTAATTATCCACAAGCAGGTTAACTTAAAACCTCTGTTACTACTTCTATACCGAATAAATGCAAGAATGAACAAGGAGTCAATTAGCTACAATCACTCTCTAAAAGTTGATAACACCCTAGCCCAACTCTATGTGCCTATATGTAAGGGCATATTTTATTCATCTGATACTTATACTTAATAAATGTTTGTTTAGTAAGAGAAACTAAATGTGAATTGTAAGTATAAAGAAGTCATGATGAGAGGGAAACAAAAGGCCCAAATTAATCAAATTCATCTCTTCTTAGGGAAGACACTGAATTTGTGTCTGCAGATTATCATCTTACCTTTTAATAACAAATGTAATTTGATTGCCCACTTGAATGATGTTTTCCAGCCTTGGGATTCCCTATCATGAGGGACTTCTGAAAGGAATGTCTTCCAGTAGTTCTTCCACACACACATCATTCGCATGTCCTTCAAATTTTTGGTCTTAAAAACCATCTTCAAAGATCTTCAAAGATTAAACTTTGTTTTTCAATATCCTTAAACAGAAGAGAAAGAAAGAAAATCATTATAGACAATGAGGAACATAACCTAAGCTGGTGTGCAGTGGCATGATCTTGATTCCTTGCAATCTCTGCCTCTTGGGTTCAAGCAATTCTCCTGCCTCAGTCTCCCAAGTAGCTGAGATTACAGGTGCCGACCAGCATGCCTGTCTAATTTTTGTATATTTTTAGTAGAGACAGGGCTTCACTGTGTTGGCCAGGCTGGTCTCACACTCCTGACCTCAGCTGATCCACCCACCTTGGCCTCCCAAAGTGCTAAGATTACAGGCATGAGCCAATGTGCCCAGTCATAAACATTATTTGGAAGAAGCTTTTTGCTACTATCTGCCCGTGACTGTAATAACCGTCCTCCATTGGCTGCCTTACAGTAGTGCATTTCAGGCTACGCTTTCATCTGCGCTGCAGCCATGAGATCAATGTTCTTTATCCCTTCAACATCGTGAGCATGCTATTTAATAAGAATTAACTTGCCACAAAGAATTCAGCGAATCGAAATTAAAAATAGTAAGCAGAGGCTGATTTAGATTAAAAGAGGCATAACAACCAAAGTTAACACATGAAGACTGTTTAAAGCCAGATTTAAAACAAATTTTTTTCAGATAATGAGGAAATGTGATACTATTCAGATAAGAGTAAGGAAACTCAACTAAGGGCTACATATGAGCTGACACCAAAAAATCACTCCTAAATCTGTCAGATATGATGAGAGAGTGGCTGTTCAGGAATGCACACTGAACAGATAAAATAATGTGATGACTGCGATTTGCTTTATAATATTCCTGCAGAGGGAGGTAAAAGAATAGCAGAACAAAATGTGGACATTTTAATGATCACAGAAATTGAGGAATGGGTATTTTAGTGTTCATTGTACTATTTTCTCTACTTTTGAATAAGTATATAAACTGTAATTTTAAAATATAAAAAAAAAAAAATGGTCGGGAGCAGCAACTCACTCCTACAATTCCAGAACTTTGGGAGGCCGAGGCAGGTGGATCAGTTGGGTCAGGAGTTCAGAGACCAACCTGGTGAAACCCTGTCTCTACCAAAAATACACACACAAAAAATTAGCCAAATGTGGTGACAGGTACCTGTAATCCCAGATACTCAGGAGGCTGGGGCAAGAAAATCACTTGCACCCAGAAGGAAAAGGCTACAGTTAGCCAAGATCATGCCACTAGACTCCAGCCTGGGCAACAGAGTGAGAATCTGCTTAAAAAAATACCAAAAACAAAAACAAAAATAAAGTAAAAATTAATTTACTATTCCCTGCTCTGAAACCATCCAAACAGAATTCTAAAAGGAAAGATTCTAGCAATTCACATGGTGCTATTTATATAGAGATCTCCCTTGCACCTTTGTATGTAAATTTAAATATTTTGCAACCTGTTGGCTGGGAGTGGTTCAAAGCTGGGCATGGTAACACATGCCTGTAGCCCCAGCCTCTTAGGACACTAAGGCAGGAGGATAACATAAGCCCAAAAGTTCTAGTCACACCCAGACAACATAACAAGACCTGGTTTCTTTAAAAAGAAATGGGGAGCTGTGAGGGAGCTCACTGATGAATTATTTTGGTGATATCAACAAGGCTATCGAAACACTACTATAAAATCCAAAATTACATCGACTGCCAGATTTTTCTCCTTACTTCTGGACTCATTTATCCAATTGCCTCCTCTACCTCCACACCTCAACTTGAAAGAAATTAATTTCTTTGATCTTAGATTGGCTTTCCTCTAACATCTAAGATTTGTATTAAATTCTTACTTCATGTTATTAGCACCAAATCTGAAAGGATCTAGTACAGGAACTCTTTGGAATAAGAAACACACAAAATGAAATAGTTATCATATCTGTAAAAAGAAATATGCCCATAAACAAACAATGGTTAAAAAATTACAGGCTTTCAGTCACACTAAAGAATGATGTTAAATAAAATTATTCTGTCAATTCAACAAGAAACTATATAAACCTAATTCTAACAAGCTTTCTATAAAATAAAAAAGAACCAATTGTCAGAGCTGAGTAAAAGGTGGAAGTTGTAGAAAGAGAAGTCAACTGCAGAACATGCCCATCACATATCATAAAGGCTACCCCAATCACACTCATCCCCCTTATTCCACCTAGTATCACCTGAGGTCAGGAGTTCAAGACCAGTCTGGCCAACATAGAAAAATCCCTTCTCTACTAATAATACAAAAATTAGTCTTGTATGGTGGTGGGCGACTGTGAGGCAGAACTGCCTGAACCCAAGAGCCAGTGAGCCAAAATCACACCATAGCACTCTGACCTGGGGGACAAGAGTGAAAACTGTCTCAAGAAAAAGAAAAACAAATTCCTTTGGGAAGGCTTTCTTCATAGAGATCCTCAACATGAGACTGGAAAAAAGGGTATGGAATCATCACCAGACCTTTGGCTTTTACAGCTTGAGGTAGAAGGACAAAAAGGAAAAGGGATATCATTTAAACACAATTTGCAGCGAAGAATAATTATTGAATCTGTCTTGCTCTTTAACTTTCTTTTCTTGAAACAGAGTTTCACTCTTGTCGCCCAGGCTGGAGTGCAGTGGCACGATCTTGGCTCACTGCAAGCTTCATTTCTCAGGTTCAAAGGATTCTCCTGCCTCAGCCTGCTGAGTAGCTGGGATACAGGAGCCTACCACCACCCCAAGCTAAGTTTGGTATTTTTTGTAGAGACAGAGTTTCACCATTCTGGCCAGGCTGGTCTCGATCCCCTGACCTCAGGTGATCCACTCATCTCAGTCTCCCAAAGTACTGGGATTAGAGGGATGAGCCACTGAGCTGCCCGAGCACTTTCTTATGTTATTAAATGGCCTAACCCAGGTGGGGGCAGTGGCTCAGGCCTGTAATCCCAACAACCTTGAAAGATAAGGTAAGAAGGTTGCTTCAACCTAGGAGTTCAAGACCGGCCTGGGCAACATAGCTAGACCACCCCTCATCTCTACAAAAATTAGGCCAGGTGTGCACCGCACCTAGCTAATTTTTACATCTTTCGTAGAGACAGGGTTTCATCATGTTGCCCAGGCTGGTCTCAAACTCCTAAGCCCAAGCCATCCTCCCGCCTCGGCCCTCAAAGCGCTGGGATTACAGGGCCCAGGGAGCCTCATGTTTTCTTTAAGCAGTCTCCTACTCTTGCACACTTGGAGAGTTTTCTTTTTGTTCTTTTAGGCAGGGTTTACCTCAGTCTCACAGGGTGGAGTTCTGTGGTGGGATCGTAGCTCATTGCAGCCTTGAACCCTGGGGTTCAAGTAGCTGGGAGGCTGAGGTGGGACTACAGATACAGGGTCACACCATGTTGCCCAGGCTGCTCTTGGACTCCTGGACTGAAGGGATTCCTCCTACCTCAGACACACCTGGACACAGTTTTCTATTTTTGACCTAAATAAACACTGTACCGGGTCAGACTTTGTCAACTGCCCTTTTCCAGCCAGCAACACACAGAACCTACCTGAGACATTGCAGTTACCAGGCTTCACTCTGAGGAGAAAACAACATATCTCCAGGCCCTGTACTGTCCCTGTGACTTCCCTGAAAACCCACCCTTCTGACATCACAGACCTCCCCTGATATGGAGCCAATCAGAACTCTGAAAGAAAATGTCAATTGCATGCCAGTCAGATGTGGGCAGTGTTCATGTTTCAAAAGCTAACACTGGCATGACTGACTTAGGGTTGGACCCAGAAAAATTAAAAAGTGAAAGACAAAAATATGTAAAGTAGGCTGAGTACAACAGCTCACGCCTGTAATCCCAACACTTTCAGAGACCGAGGCAGGTAAATCACAAACTCAGAATTTTGAGACCAGCCTGGCCAATAAGGAGGCTGAGGAAGGAGAATTGCTTGAACCCAGGAGGCAGAGACTGCAGCCAGCCGAGATCATGCCACTGCACTCCAGGCTGGATGACAAGAGTGAAAACTTGGTCTCAGAATAAAATCCCTTGGGAAGTCCTTCTGCATAAAGATCTTCCACATGAGACTGGAATAAAAGTACAAGATCATCCTGGACCTTTGGTTTTTACAGCTTGAGCTGTAACTAAAAAAAAAAAAAAAAAAAGGGATATCATTTAAATACAATTTGTAGAAAAGAATTATTCAATCTGTATTGCTCTTTACTTTTTTTTTTTTTTTGACGAAGTCTTGCTCTGTTGCCAGGTGGGAGTGCAATGGCACAATCTCAGCTCACTGAAACCTCCATCTCCCATGTTCAAACAATTCTCCTGCCTCAGCCTCCTGAGTATTTGAAACTACAGGTGCCTGCCACCATGCCCAGCTAATTTTTGTACACTCACTAGAGGTGGGGTTTCACCATATTGGCTAAAATGATCTTGATCTCCTGTCCTCATGATCCACCCGCGTTGGCCTCCCAAAGTGCTAGAATTACAGGCATGAGCCACCATGCCCTGCATTGCTCTTTGTTTTATAATTTGTTCTGTTATTGTAATTGAGTCCAAAAAATAGTATGAAACAAATTAAAAGAACCTCCAAAATGCTAAAATTCTGATTATCAAAGTCTACAGTAAAATATCCCATTACAGCTGGGCATGGTGACTCACACCTGTAATCCAGCACTTTGGGAGGCTGAGGTCAGTGAATCACATGAGATCAGTAGTTCGAGACCATCCTTGCCAACATGGGAAAACCCATCTCTACTAAAAATACAAAAACTACCTATGTGTGGAGGCAGGTGCCTGCAATCCCAGCTACTCGGGAAGCTGAGGAAGGAGAATCACTTGAACCCAGGAGGTAGCAGGTGCACTGAGAGAAGATGATGCCATTGCACTCCAGCATGGGGGACAAGACGGAAACTACAGCTCAAAAAAATTAAATACAATAGAGAAAGAAATAATCCTAATATTTAAGCCAGTGTAGATACAGCCAGACTTTCTACAACAGTCTGAACCAAATTATAAGGCCAGAAAAACATACCAGCTAATGTTATTTAATATATACAGTACTAAATGGAACATGTAATATTTTCAAAACATAAACATTAGTGTAACCTTATTGGACTTATAAAAAATTAACTAATAGAAACAGAAGATTCTCCTGAACTGCAACATCTCAGCTAGCATTTATTTACTCAAGATTGAAATAATACAACATCTATAAAACATCAAGAGCTGGGATGGGCACTGTGGCTGATACTTGTGATCCCAGCACTTTGGGAGGCCGAGGTGGTCAGATCACCTGAGGTCTGGAGTTCGAGACCAGCCTAACCAACATGGAAAAATCCCATCTTTACTTAACAGAAAAAAAAAATTAGCTAGACATGGTGGTGTACACCTGTAATCCCAGCTACTTGGGAGACTGAGGCAGGAGAATTGCTTGAACCCAGGAGGAGGAGGTTGTGGTGAGCTGAGATCAAGCCATTGTACTCCAGCCTGGCCAACAAAAGCCAAATTACATCTCAAAAAAAAAATTAAATTCAAGAGCTAGTCATTGAACAGGCTCAAACCTATAACCCCAGCACTTTGCAAGGCCTAGGTGGGTGGATCACCTGAGGTCAGGAGTTCGAGACCAGCCTGGCCAACATGGTGAAATCCCATCTCTACTAAAAATACAAAAATTAGCTTAGCATGGTGACACTTAACTGTAGTCCCAACTACTACGGACACTGAGGCAGGAGGATTGCTTGAACCTGAGAGGTGGACATTGCAGTGAGCTGAGATCATGCCACTGACCTCCACCCTGGGTCACAGAGCAGGACTCTCTCAAAGAAACAAAAAATGTCAAGAGCATGGGAAGTAGTAAAATTAAACATAACCAACAATGTCCCATCAGAATAGCTCCATTTTTTGCTATCATTATGTGTTAAAGTCTATTTGCTAAACATTGACATTTGTACTAAAGTTTCAAGTGCACCATATAACACATTAGTGCTGAGTGAAGTTTAATACCCTTTGCTGTATACTAAACTTGAATATCATACTTACAGATCAAAACAAAAGTATCTTTCCCTAAGGTAATTACCACTAATGTTGCTTTAAAATTATAAAATGTGAAGATTTTTTATAATGTCACAACAGCTGCAAATTATTGTCTTTAAACAAAATAATCTAATAAATCACCATCACAAAAAAGCCCCAAAACATAATCTATTTCATCTTATAAAAAGCACTTACATTCATAAAACTGTTAGTCAATTTATAAAACTTTAATAGCAGATTATTTTTACTTAGAATAGTACTAAATTAACAATACAATATAAACATAGGCCAGGTGTTGTGTCTAATACCTGTAACCCAGCACTTTGGTAGGCCCAAGGCAAATGGATCACTTGAGGTCACAAGTTCCAGATCAGCCTTGACGACATGGGGAAACCCCAATTCTACTAAAAATACAAAAATCAGGCAGGCGTGGTGGTGGATACCTGTAATCCCACCTATTCCAGAAGCTGAGGTAGAAGAATCACTTGAACCTGGGAGGCGAAGGTTGCAGTGAGCCGAGATCATGTCGTTGCATTCCAGAATGGGTGACAAGAGCAAAACTCCAGCTCAAAAAACAAAATCCCATTACTTTAAGCCAATGTAGATACAGCCAGACTTTCTACAGCAATCTGAACCACATCATAAAGCCAGAAAAACACATCAGCTAGTATGACATAATACATATAGTACTAGATGGGAAAGGTAGTATTTGCAAAACATAAACATCAGTGTAACCTTAGTGGACTCGTAAAAACACTTACTGGAGTTATAAACATAATTTTCAAAAGTACCAGAAACAGAAGATTCTCCTGAACTACAACATCTGAGCTAGCATTTATTTACTCAACATTAAAATAATACAACAGGTATAACAAGTCAAGAGCTGGGCCGGGTGTGGTGGCTCACAACTGTCGTCTCAGCACTTTGAGAGGTCAAGGCAGGCAGATCACCTTAGGTCAGGAGTTCAACACCAGCCTGACCAACATTAAAAACCCTTGTCTCTACTATAAATGCAAACTTAGCTGGGTATGATGGCACATACCTGTTATCCCAGCTACTCGGGAGGCTGAGGCAGAAGAATTGTTGGAACCCAGGAGGTGAAGGTTGCCATGAGCCAAGATCGCACCATTGCACTCCAGCCTGGGCAATGAGAGTGAAACTTCATCTCAATAAATAAATAAATAAATAAATGAAAGTCAATCACTGGCCAAACGTGGGTGGCTCATACCTGTAAGCCCAGAATTTTGGGAGGTCAGGGCAGGTGGATCATTCGAGGACAGGAGTCTGAGAGCAGCCTGGCCAACGTGGTGAAACCTCATCTCTACTACCTACACAGAAATTAACTGGGCATGGTGGCACGTTTCTGTAATCCCAGATTCTTGGGAGGCTGAGGCAGCCAGATCACCTAAGGTTAAGAGCTCAACACCAGCCTGGCCAATAGGGTGAAACCCCACCTCTACTATACAAAAATTAGATGGGCATGGTTGTTTGTGCCTGTAATCCCAGCTACATGGGACGCTGAGGCAGGAGAACTGCTTGAACCCAGGAGGTGGAGGTTGCAGTGAGCTGAGATCACACCACTGAACTCCAGGATGGGTAATACAGCAAAATGCCATCTCAAAAAAAAAAAAAAAAAAAAAAAAAGTAAGAAGGAAAACATTTGCTATGGGAGACCAGAAATATGATCTGCTGGCAATCCTTCCATTTTAGGAAATCTAAACAGTGGGAGTCATTCTGCTTTGTCTCTCTCCGCTCCAGAAACAAAACCAGTAACCAAATCCATTCCATTTCTTTCAAAACACATCTAACAATTAAGAGATGATAATGATCACAGAAATTGAGGAATAAGTATTTTAGTGTTCATAGTACTCTTTTCTCTACTTCTGAATAGGTATAGAAACTGTAATTTTAAAATGTAAAAAAAAAATAAAATAAAATGGCCAGGCACCATGGCTCATGCCTGTAATCCCAACTTTTTGAAAAGCGAAGGCAGGGGGATCACTTGGATCAGGAGATCAAGACCAGCCTGGCCAACATGGTGAAACCCTGTTTCTATCAAAAAATAATAATAAAAAAATAGAAAAGAGCTGGGTGTGGTGGCAGGCACCTGTAGTCCCAGCTACTCAGGAGGCTGAGGCAAGAGAATCAGTAGAACCTGGGAGGCAGAGGCTGCAGTGAGCTACTGCACTCCAGCCTGAACAACAGAGTGAGAATCTGCCTTAAGAAAAAAATAGTAAAAATGAATTTACTAATCCCTGCTCTGAAGCCACATCCAAACAAAACTCTAAACAAAAACATTCAAGCAATTTACATGGTGCTATTTATATACAGATCTCCCATGCACCTCTGAATGTAATATTTAAATATTTTGCAACATGATGGCTGGGAGTGGCTCAAACCTGGGCATGGTGGCACATGGCTGTAGCCCTAGATACTACTTAGGAGACTGAGGAGGATAACTTGAGCCCACGAGTTCTAGCCCAGCCCAGAAAACATAACACGACCCTGTTTCTTTGAAAAGTCAGGGAGCTGTCAGCGAGCTCACTGATAAATTATTTTGGTGTTATCAACGACTGCTATCAAAACACTACTACAAAATCCAAAATGATATCTCTTGCCAGATCTTTCTCCTTACTTCTGAACTCATTTACCAAAATGCCTCCCCCACCTCCACAACTCAACTGGAATGTCAACTTGAAATTAATTAATAAATTAATTTCTTTGTTATTAGACTGGCTTTCCTGTAACACCTAAAGAGTTGTCTTAAATTCTTACTTCATGTTATTAGCATCAAATTTGAAGGCCCATAAATAGCAGTAAAAGATTAGAAGCTTTCAGTCATACTAGACAGTGATGTTAAATCAAATTATTCTGTTAATTCAACAAGGAAATATATAAACCTAATTCTGACAAACTTTCTATAAAATAAAAAAGAACCATTTGTTGGGGTTGAGAGTGAAAACTGGAAGTTTTAGAAAGAGGTGAGACCAACTGCAGAATGTGCTCATCACGCATCACTGAGGCTGTCCCAATCACACCCTCTGCCTCTTTATCCCCCTTATTCCACTTAATTCTTTCCCAGACCATAACCCCTTCTTCCATAGTAAATATCTCCTACTTACTACACATTTCCCCACCAGATTAAATGTTCCAGAATGCATGGGGCAGGGCACTGTCTTCCACACTGCCCAGTTTCCAACACCTGACTCACAGGTACCAAATGACTTCAGGATTATGAGGTTGGAAGTAGTGATTATTTCCTCAATATGTGCAGTGGTTCACAGCAATGAAAATCCCAAGATTTCCTTTCCCCTTTCAGAGGCATTTGAACCAGAGCAACTCCATCTAAAATAGGAGCTGGGTAAAATGAGGCTGAGACCTATTGAGTTGCATTCTCAGATAGTTAAGGCATTCTAAGTCACAGGCTGAGGAAGGAAGTCAGCACAAGATACAATTCATAAAGACCTTGCTGATAAAATGGGTTGCAGTAAAGCGGCCAGCCAAAACCAAGATGGTGACAAGAGTGGCCTCTGGTCGTCCTCACTGCTACTACACTCCCACCAACACCAGGACAGTTTACAAATGCCATGGCAATGTCTCAAAAGGGGAAGCATAAAAATAATCCATTCCTGGCCAGGCTCAGTGGCTCACACCTGTAATCCCAGCACTCTGAAAGGACAAGGTGAATGGATCACCTTAGATCAGGAGTTTCAGAGCAGCCTGACCAACATGGTGGAACCCCCATCTCTACTACAAATTAAAAATAAAATTAGCTGGGTGTGGTGGTGCACACCTGTGATCCCAGCTACTTGGGAGGCTGAGGCAGGAGAATCACTTGAGAACCTGCTTGAGAAGTAAACAAGACAGGCATGATCTGGGCTGTTAGAGCCACTGTGCCGAAGCAGGAGGAAAAAGCCAGCAGCGCTCTGTGAAAAATGAAAGGAGGATGAGTCAGTGAGCCTCAAGGCTGAGATGAGACAGTGCTCAGTAAAGTCCTCTCCAACATGATGACGTTTCAACTGTGATGCTAATAGAAATGAGAAGCACAGAAAGCCCTCAACTAACAGCAGTCCACAAACACCAGTCCTCAGCGCAATGGTGCCAGGAGGCTGTGACCTGAGAAGAAGAAAGGCACACAAATGATCAGAGTGGCTGGCACAGAGCAAGCACTCCACAGACGGCATGTGGGAAAAGCAGAGGAATGGCAGAGGGCAGCTCACCGATGCCCCTGCAGACCCAATCAGGGGCTGTGAGGTTTACTCCACAAACAGTGGAAGGCACTACCTATGACAGTCCAGAGAATGACAGGCTCCACCTCCTACTTACAATGAGCCTGACCGGGCTGCTCTGTGGCATGGCTCTGAGCACTGGAGGGCAGTGAAGTAGGATGGGGTAGAACCTGGGCTTTGTGTTCGGGTAGAGTCAGCAGGCCTTGCAAGGCTGGATACGGGAAGGGAGACAATCATACCTCAGAGTAACTCCTGGGCATCTGGCTTGGGTAGCTGGTAGACCTTGAGAGGAGCTCATGGAGATGGAAATGGGGACTTTGCCTGGGACACATGAAGCCTGAGGAGGGGTCAAGCAGATAGGCAAACATAGAGGTCTGGTATGAGGAGCACCTTCAGGGCCAGGAATGAGGGTGTCAAAAACACAGACAATATAATATTTTTAAGAGGTGGGCAGGGTGGGATTACCTGTAAGGAAGACACAGTAAGAAGAGAGAAAGAGGCTGGGCAATGTGGCTCATACCTGTAATCTGAGCACTTTGGGAGGCCAAGGAAGGCAGATCACAAGGTCAGGAGTTTGAGACCCCATCTCTACTAAAAAAAAAATAGAAAAATCAGCCAGACATAGTGGCAAACATCTGTAATCCTAGCTACTCAGGAGGCTGAGGCAGGAGAATCGCTTCAACCAGGGAGGCAGAGGTTGCAGTGAGACCAGACTGTGCCACTGCTGGCTGGGCATGGTGGCTCATGCCTGTATCCCCACATTTTGGGAAGCTGAGGCAGGCAAATCACCTGAGGTAGACCGTTCCAGACTAGACTGACCAACATGAAAAAACCCATCTCTAATAAAATATAAAATTAACTGTGGCATATGCCTGTAATCCCAGCTACTCTGGAGGCTGAGGCAGAAGAATAGCTTGAACCCGGGAAGCAGAGGTTGCAGTGAGTCGAGATTGAGCTATTGCCCTACAGCCTGGGCAACAAGAGCAAAACTCCATCTCAAAAAAGAAAAAAGTCAAGTGTTAGCCAGGTGGGAGTGGCTCGCACCTGTAACCTCAGCACTGTGGGAGGCCAAGGTGGGTGGATCCCCTGAGGTCAGGAGTTTGAGACTAGCCTGGCCAACATGCTGAAACCCCATCTCTACCAAAAATACAAAAATTAGCTGGGCATGGTGGCACTTACCTGTAGTCCTAGCTACTAGGGAGGCTGAGGCAAGAGGATAAATTCAACCTGAGAAGTGGAGGTTTCGGCCAGCTGAGATCCCACCACTGCGCTCCAGCCTGAGTGAAAGAGGAAGACTCTGTTTCAAAGAAAGAAAAAAAAAAAAGAAAAGTCAAGAGCATGGGGAATATTCAAATCAAACATAACCAACAGTCTCCCATCAAAACAGCTCCATTTCTTTGCTATCAGTATGTGTTAAGGTCTATCTGCTAAACACTGATATTTGTACTCATGTTTCAAGTGCACATTAGTGCTTAGATTTAATATCCTTTGCTGTACACTAAACTTGAATATCATACTTTCATATTACAAAAAAAGTATCTTTCCCTAAGGCAATTACCATTAATAATGCTTTAAAATTATAAAGTGTGAAGATAGTTTTTATAATTTCACTTGTTATAATTTCACAACAGCTGAACATTGTCTTTAAACAAAATAATCTAATAAACCACCATCACAACAAAATCCCCACAACATAATCAGTTTCACCTGATAAAAGCACTGATATTTATAAAAATTATCAGTCAATTTATAAAACAGTGAATTCATAAAACTTGAATAGCAAATGATTTTTACTCAGAATAGTACTAAATTAACAATATCATAAAATCATAGGCCAGGTGCAGTGGCTCACACCTGAATTTTCAGCACTTTGTGAGGCCAAGCCAGGTAGATCACTTGAGGTCAGGAGTTCAAGACCAGTCCGGCCAACATGGTGAAACCCTGTCTCTACCAAAAATACACAGGTTAACTGAACATGGTGGTGCACACCTATGATTCCCGCTACTTGGGAGGCTGAGGCAGAAGAATTGCTTGAAACCATGAGGCAGAGGTTGTAGTGAGCCAAGATCTCATGCCACTGCACTTCAGTCTGTGCAACAGAGCAAGATTCTGCCTCAAAAAATAAATAAGTAAATTAAAACATAAGCAAGATGAATTTATTATGTGTTTATATATCCGGTATTATGTGAAGCAGTGTAGCATGCTATCAAATCTTTAATATAGATCTTCAGTTCTCACGACCACTAAAGAGCATACTAAGGCTCAAACAGAATAAGAGACTTGGCCAAGCTCTTATTCTCATGATCTGCCCACCTTGGCCTCCCAAAGTGCTGGGATTACAGGCATGAGCCACCATGCCCAACCAAATACCAAATTTAACAAAGCAGATAAAGAGAAATAATTAGTTTAAAAAATTAATTAAATCCCTAAGATCCAGGGCTTTGCAATAAATATGTACATAAATCGCCAATATTCATGCTGAAAGTTTAAAAGAAATGCTAACTGATAATTTAAGAAATACAATTTTTCCTTAGCTTTACAGTAATCTAGAAAGAAAGAAAGTTTCTAATATTTAGACAGACACTACAAGATGAACTGTGACTCCATTGTATAAACACTCATGAACAAAGTATTACAGGACTTTTCCAGTTTAGACATACCATATTTTCTTTCAGATAGTTCTTCAATGTGTTTACATAGATCAGCGATACCATCATTGCATTTCTCTGAAAATTGAGCAAAGGTTGATTGTCAATAATATGTCCCTACGTCAGAGCAACATTCACGTATAATGACTTATTTCCTATATTTTACATCTCAACAGTCCATATCATTTTACTGCTTTTGAAAAAATGTTTCCCTTTTTTGGTGGTTCTTATAATTAGTTTAATTGGAGACTGTAGGAAAAGTTTTAAAGTTTAGTACCTCTTTTTATCCTTTTAATTTCTAAAAAGGAGGAGGGGAGAAAAGATCCATCAAATTAAATAACAAGGAGGCCACAACGACAATGTCTCCAGGGGTCTTTTAGCAAACTTCCTAACACATATCTCACTTGTGTGGAAATAAGACTTTACAGCAGCCAGTGAGGCCATGTAGGCCTGTAATCCTAGCACTTAGGGAGCAGAGGTAAGTGGATCACTCTGAGATGAGGGCAACATAGCAGAAACTTCCGTCCCCTCCCCCACCTTCCACTGCCCCCTCCATGTGCCCATCTCATCCGAAAATACAAAACTTAACCAGACATGGTGGCAGGCACCTGTAGTCCCAGGTACTCAGGAGGCTGAGGTAGAAGAATCACTTGAACCCAGGAGACAAATGTTGCAGGGAACGAAGACTGCAGCCAGCCTGTGCAAAAGAGCAAGACTCCATGTCAAAAAAGAAAACCCCAAAGCAAAAATCCAAACCCTTTTCCTCCCAATCACTGAAACACCAGGAAGGTGTAATAGTTTTGCAGCATACCTGTAATAGGCTGATAGTGATGCCCCAAGATGCTCATAACCTAATCCCAGGAACCGGTGAACATGACCTCATATGGTAAAAGGGGCTTTAGAGATATAATGAAGTTAAGGACTTCTGGCCAGGAAGATTATTCTGGCTAGTCACAGTGGGGTTGATGTACTCACCCAGATCCTTACCAGAGCAGAGCAGGTGATGGAGAGCGATGGGAAGTGTAGTGATGGAAGCAGGAACCTCCAGTCATTCAAGAAGGGCAGCACAAGCTGAGGATTCCAGGAAGCCTCCAGGGCCAGAAACTCATTCTCCTTCAGAGCCTGGGAAGGTACCTGCCCTGCTCCCACCTTGAGTCAGTGGGACCGACTTTAGAATTCTGGCCTTCAGAACATAAGCGAATACATCTGTGTTGCTTTTTTTTTTTTTTTTTTTTTTAGACAGAGTTCCCCTCTTTTTACTTAGGCTGGAGTGTGATGGCACGATCTCGGCTCACTGCAACCTCCGCCTTCCAGGTTGAAGCAATTCTCCTGCCTCAGCCTCCTGAGTAGCTGGGATTACAGGCATGCACTATCACACCCAGCTATTTTTATATTTTTATTAGAGGTGGAGTTTCTCCATGTTGGTCAGGCTGGTCTCGAACTCCCAACCTCAGGTGATCCGCCCGCCTCAGCCTCCCAAAGTGGATTACAGGTATGAGCTACCATGCCCAGCTACGTCTATGTTGTTTTAAGCCCTAAGTGTGTGGTAATTTGTTCCAGCAGAAACAGGAAACTAGTATCATAGTGAAGCCTCAAAACGCACCTGAAGGGGCTGGGTGCTGTGGTTCATGCCTGTAATCCCAGCATTTTGGGAGGTCAAAGTGGGCAGATCACTTGAGATCAGAAGTTCGAGACCAGCCTGGTCAACATGGTGAAACCCTGTCTCTGCAAAAAAACTAGCTAGTGTGGTGGCATGGCACATGCCTGTAATCTCAGCTACTTGGAAGGCTAAGACATGGGAACAGTTTGAACCTGAAGAGGGGGAGGCGGAGGTTGTAGTGAGCCAAGATTGTGCCACTGCACTCCAGCCTGGGTGAGAGAGCCAGACTTCATCTCAAAACACACCTGGCTAATTTTTGTGTTTTTAGTAGAGACAGGTTTTGCCATGTTTCCCAGGCTCTACTCAAACTCCTGGACTCAAGCGATCCACCTGTCTCAGCTTCCCAAAGTGCTGGGATTACCGGTGTGAGCTCTGGCACTCAGCACTCACCAAGGCCTTTGACAACATGCTTTTCCAGGTGATCGGTCCTTGTCTGGTCTGGCTCTGCCACACTCTCCACTACACCAAGTTGGAATCCTTAGCTACTTTTCAGAAGAGGAGGGTGTGTACTTTAATCCCAGCTCAGTATGGTTCAGATCTGCATTTAACTCATGGAACCTGGCTGCTTCCCAGGCCCTGGAGAAAAAAAGGGTCTCTGTGGGTATGATACAGGATAAGCCAAGATCATGCCACTGCACTCCAGCCTGGGCTACAACAGCGAGACTCCATCTCAAGAAAACAAAAACAAAACAAAACAGACTCCATCTAAAAGAAAAACAAAGACAAAACAAAAACAAATGTGGCACGGCAAAGAAAATAATTATTGTGTTAAAGACAGTTTCATAGAAAATAAAAGACAATACAATAAGCTGTCTTTTTAGATTAGTACAGTTGTTATTCTTATTTTACAGCTAAAAAAATGAGCTCAGGGCAAGTGTGGTGGCTCACATCTGTAATCACAGCATTTTAAGAGGCTAAGGCAGGTGGATAATGAGGTCAAGAGATCAAGACGATCTCTGCCAAAATGGTGAAACCGCATCGCTACTAAAAATACAGAAATTAGCTGGATGTGGTGGCACGTGCCTGTAGTCCAAGCTACTCAGGAGGCTGAGGCAGGAGAATCACTTGAACCCGAGAGTTGGAGGTTGCAGTGATCTAAGATGACACCACAGCAAAAGAGCAAGACCCCGTCTCTAAAAAATAAAAAATAAATAAAATAAGTAAAAGAGAAACAGGCTCAGAGAATGTTATTTGATTGGACCATCTTGCATCTCTGGACAGAGAAGGTAAGATCAGACTTCATGTGTAACTCCCCTAGCTTACCAGGGTGCCTCTCATAAAAGGAAGACATATAACTTTGGCCTAATATACAAAGATGCTGGAACAGTCAATTCTACATACAGTACTTCCATGTTCATCAAGGGAAACCTTAAGGGAAGGTGAAAATGCTTCTTGAAGGGACTGGACACCAGTGCCCTTACTTGTTGCCTTTGGGCTCTTCCTCCAAGGGTAACGGTGACCTCAAATTACTGACTGTTGCAATCAACGGGAGGAAATGCTACCAAGGTCACTAACATCAGGCAAATTCACTTGAGGACCTATCCGTGCGCTTTGACAGACAAAAACTGCTTTTGTAAAGGATACTGTATTTCAGAAAAACATAATCACATTAACATCTAATAACACTGTAAAATGCTGTTGTGTTGAATGCTACTTTAGAAAAATATGCTCAAATGTAGAGAAAAAATTGTGATAGAAAACTACTTACCAATTATCTAGCTAGCTATCTAGAGACATGGTCTCATTCTTTTGCTCAGGATGGAGGGTTGTGGGATGACCCTACTCACTGCAGACCTGCTCCTGGCCTCAGGTGATCCTCCTGCCTCAGCATCCTAAGTGGCAGGGGACACAAGTGGACACAGTTACACCTGCCTTTTTTATTTGTTTCTTTTGAAGAATCAGGGTTTCACTACATTGCCCAGGCTGGTCTCAAACTCTGGAGTCTCACTCTGTCAACCAGGCTAGGGTTCAGTGATGTGATCTTGACTAACTGCAACCCCTGCCTCCTGGGTTTAAGCAATTCGCCTGTGTCAGCCTCCCTAGTAGCTGGGACTACAGGCATGTGCCACCACATGCGGCTAATTTTTGTAGAAACTGGGTTTCATCACGTTGGCTACACTGATCTCGAACTCCTGACCTCAGGTGATCCACCTGCCTTGGCCTCCCAAAGTGCTGGAATTACAGAGCCAGCAAGCCAAGCCACGGACTTTGTTACTAAATAGCCTAAACCAAGTGGGGCGCCGTGGCTCACACCTTTAATCCCAACAACTCTGAAGGCCAAGGTGAGAAGATGGCTTGTACTCAGGAGTTCAAGACCAAACTGGGCAAAATGGGAGGATCTCCCCCTCCCATCTCTACACAAAAATACAAAATATTAGGCTAGGCATGCACTGTGCCTGGCTAATTTTTGTATCTTTTGTAGAGACGGGGTTTTGTCATGTTGCTCAGGCCAGTCTCACACTCCTGATTCCAAGCCATCCTCCCGCCTCAGCCTCCCAAAATGCTGGGATTACAGGGCCCAGGCAGCCTCAATTTTTCTTTAAGCAGTCCCCCAATGTTGCACACTTGGATAGTTTTCTTTTTTATTTTTTTAGACAGGGTTTACCTCAGTCTCGCAGGCTGGAGTGCGGTGGTAGAATCTTAGCTCATTGCAGCCTTGAACCTTGGGGTTCAACTAGCTGGGAGGCTGAGGTGGGACTACAGAAATGGGGTCACACCACTTTGCTAGGCTGCTCTTGAACTCCTGACCTGAAGAAAACTTCCCACCTCCCTAGTGTCCGGACACACTTTTTCTATTTTTTAACCCACATAAATACTGTGCTGGGTCGGAGTTTGTTACCTACCCTTCTCCAGCCTGCAGCACACAGGACGCAGCGGAGATGGAGGTTACCGGACTCTGCTCTGGGGAGAAGACAACACAGCTCCTAGGCAACACACCTTCACGTAAGTCGCGTAAGGCTTGCCTCTGTGACGTCGCCGGAGGCCCGTCTCCGTGCGCCGTGACGTCACCGGAGGCGCCGGCCGTGACGTCACCAGAGGCGCGCCGCCGTGATGTTTTCAGAGGTCGGCCCCTCACGCGGAGCCAATCGGAAGTAGAGGCGGTGCCGCTGGGTCTTCCAGGAGCGCGCATGCGCAGGCTGGTGATGGAAGCCGCTCCAGAGTCGGTACATCCGCATAGACAGGCTCCCGCCTGGCTGCCGTCACCTATAAACTCCAAAGAGGAGTTTTAAGATTTCCCAGTCTGCAGGGCCAGGAGCGGCAGGGACCCGACTCAGCGAGCAGATGCTGCCCGCTACCCTCCCGGCGCCTGGTGGGCACGAGTTCAAGGTCGCGCAGAAGAAGCTCCTTAATGGACAGTGAAAGGCTACCAGTGCCACTGCTACCCCGGACACGTATTCTTGCCTCAGCCTAGGTACGTGCGACCCCTAATACCTTTCCCAGCCAGGGACCCCAGGAGCATCCTTCACCGCTGCTCATCCTGCGCAGGGCAGGGCAGGGCAAGGCAAGGCAATTCGAGGCATGGCAAGGCAGGGCAGGGCACGGCAGGGCAGGGCAGGGCAATTCCAGGCAAGGAAATTCAAGGCAAGTCACTCGCAGAGTGCTACACTTTAAGGCAGGGGTCAGATCCAAGGCACAGGGCTTGTGCTGTCTCTCTAGGTGACCAATCCGGGAGCAGGGCAAAACCTCGATCTTCCCTCCACACTGCCACACCTGCAGAAGAAGGCAAAAAAGATCACCTATGCTTCACAGTCAGTGAATTGCATAGCTTACTGACACAGGAGACTACATTTTAGAACCATTTTTAAAGAATGTATATTCAGTCCTCCCACTCCTGTCTTTATATTGCCTCCTATCCTTCTTATCTGACTCATCATTCCTTAGAAGTTTACCAAACTGCTTCTCTCCTGACATCCAAACAACTGCTGAAATCATACTTCCTTCAGGAAGTCTTCCTAAATGGACCAAATGAGGGGCAGCCTCTGCTCCCTTATCCCCAAGGAACGTGCCCATGTCCTGAGAGGTGCCATGCCCTGAGCCACTCCCACGGCACTAAGTTTCTCGTGCCCCTTCTCTGCCTGCACACTAGACATAGGGCAGTGTGGCAGACAGACACCAAAGTGACCCCGTGATGCTTTGCCCCTGGCTGCCAGCTGTGCAATGATGGAGTAGGTTGAGCCCCAATTTATTCATCTGCGAAGAGGGCACAACCACTATTTGAGTTGTCAGCATGAGCTGTCAGCAGGATTAAATGCCATAGCAAGGAATCAGCTACGGCAGGCTCTGAGATAACTTGAGGTACACCTTCTCTTTCATTATCTTTCTCTGGCTCTCCTCATTGGTCCCCAGAATCATGTGGAGGTTACATCCCGCTTGCACTCAGGTATTATTCTTTCTAGCCAAACATTCAAAAATCCAATACAACCTTACTCCAATTTTCCTAGTTGATGAAGGTTTTCAACTCATATAAATTAGGGGCAAAAAATTAACTGTTGACATAAAAAAAATCTTAAATTCAAGTTAAAAGTCAAGATTGCCTAGGCTGGGTGTGGTGGCTCATGCCTGTAATCCCAGCACTTTAGGAGGCTGAGGCAGGCAGATCACTTGAGGTCAGGAGTTTGAGACCAGCCTGGCCAACATGGTGAAACCCCATCTCTATCAAAAATACAAAAATTAGCCAGGTGTGGGGTGTGCACCTATAATCCCAGATGCTCAGGAGGCTGAGGCAGGAGAATCACTTGAACCTGGGAGGTGGAAGTTGCAATGAGCCTAGATCACGCCACTGCACTCCAGCCTGGGGAATAGAGTGAGTGTCTCAAAAGAAAAAAAAAGATTGCCATTTATGAAATAATGCTCATAATTAGCTTTCCCAAAAAAATTTTCAAACTCTGCTCTTCCAATTTAGTCCCAGTTGCTAAACTCCTTTCATCATTTGTCTTTTTTTCTCTCTCTTTCTCACTCACACATATAGAGACATTAAGCTTCTCCTGATAATATTACTTTGTGCCATACACTCTCCTAATACTTTCCATAAATTTAATCCTCCCATGCCGGTATCCCCCTTTAAGTAACCTGTCCACGTTTATCAGCTAGTAAATGACAGAGCTGCACTGTGAACCCAGGCAGTCACATGTTCAGTTCTGGCAGAGTGCATGAATACACGAGGTGCTCAACAAATGTTGTTTTGTTGTTGTTTTTGAGACAGAGTTTCATTCTTTTTGCCCAGGCTGGAGTGCTATGGTGCAAGCCCAACTCACAGCAACCTCTGCCTCCTGGGTTCAAGTGATTCTCCTGCCTCAGCCTCCCAAGTAGCTGGGATTACAGGCATACACCAGCACACCCAGCTAATTTTGTATTTTTAGTAGAGATGAGGTTTCTCCATGTTGCTCAGGCTGGTCTTGAACTCCCAATCTCAGGCAATCTGTCCACCTCAGCCTCCAGAGTGCTGAGACTACAGGCATGAGCCACCACACCCCACCCCATCTCCCTTCTTTTTTTTTTTTTTTAATTGCATTTTAGGTTTTGGGGTACATGTGCAGAACATGCAAGATAGTTGCATAGGTACACATGTGGCAGTGTGATTTGCTGCCATCCTCCCCTTCACCCACATCTGGCATTTCTCCCCATGCTATCCCTCCCCAACTCCCCCCGCACTGTCCCTCCCCTATTCCCCCAATAGACCCCAGTGTGTAGTGCTCCCCTCCCTGTGTCCATGTGTTCTCATTGTTCATCACCTGCCTATGAGTGAGAATATGCAGTATTTCATTTTCTGTTCTTGTGTCAGTTTGCTGAGAATGATGTTCTCCAGATTCATCCATGTCCCTACAAAGGACATGAACTCATCATTTTTGATTGCTGCATAGTATTCCATGGTGTATATGTGCCACATTTTCCCAATCCAGTCTATCATTGATGGGCATTTGGGTTGGTTCCAGGTCTTTGCTGCAATGAACATTCGTGTGCATGCGCCCTTATAGTAGAACAATTTATAGTCCTTTGGGTATATACCCAGTAATGGGATTGCTGGGTCAAATGGAATTTCTATTTCTAGGTCCTTGAGGAATCGCCACACTGTCTTCCACAATGGTTGAACTAATTTACACTCCCACCAGCAGTGTAAAAGTGTTCCTATTCCTCCACATCCTCTCCAGCATCTGCTGTCTCCAGATTTTTTAATGATCGCCATTCTAACTGGCGTGAGATGGTATCTCAATGTAGTTTTGATTTGCATTTCTCTAATGACCAGTGATGATGAGCATTTTTTCATATGTTTGTTGACCTCATTTATGTCTTCTTTTGTAAAGTGTCTGTTCATATCCTTTGCCCACTTTTGAATGGGCTTGTTCGATTTTTTCTGGTAAATCTGTTTGAGTTCTTTGTAAATTCTGGATATCAGCCCTTTGTCAGATGGGTAAACTGCAAAAATTTTTTCCCATTCTGTTGGTTGCTGATTCATTCTAGTGACTCTTTCTTTTGCCGTGCAGAAGCTGTGGGGTTTGATTAGGTCCCATTTGTCTATTTTGGCTTTTGTTGCCAATGCTTTTGGTGTTTTAGTCATGAAGTCCATGCCTATGCCTATGTCCTGAATGGTTTTTCCTAGGTTTTCTTCTATGGTTTTTATGGTGGTAGGTCTTATGTTTAAGTCTTCAATCTATCTGGAGTTAATTTTAGTGTAAGGTGTCAGGAAGGCATCCAGTTTCTGCTTTCTACACATGCTAGCCAGTTTTCCCAAAAGCATTTATTAACAGGGACTCCTTTCCCCATTGCTTGTTTTTGTCAGATTTGTCAAAAAGCAGATGGTTGTAGATGTGTGGTGTTGCCTCTGAGGCCTCTGTTCTGTTCCATTGGTCTATATCTCTGTTTGGTATGAGTACCATGCTGTTTTGATTACTGTAGCCTCATAGTATAGTTTGAAGTCTGGTAGTGTGATGCTTCCCGTTTTGTTCTTTTTGCTTAGAATTGACTTGGCTATGCGAGGGGCATCTTTTTCACTGTACCTCACCTCCTAACCAGAAAGCCCAGTCCCATGGCAAAAGCCAAGTCCCTGCCTTCCAGTCAGACCTGTCCCCAGTATTATCCCACTGCTTTTTCCTTCCCCAGTTCCACCTCAAGGTGACATCTGGGCTCTAATGTGTAGTACTGAAGGCCTAGTTACTCTGCCTCGACCCCCAGGGGCGTGGAAAGTCACCTGAGAAAGACCACCTGGCCTGCGAGGCCTTCCTCCCCCAGCAGGAAGCAGCACACTTCTTTAGTGACTTCTTCAGTGGCTCCTGAGTGAGGACTGGAAGGCCAATAACAATGTCGGAGCCCCATAGGGGACCCCTTGAGGCCCCTGAGGATCTCAAGGTTCTGGGAAGCCAGTGGAAGGCTGCAGAATGGCTCACTGTGCCTGTGACAGCCCAGCCTCTTGGAGATATGAGTGGGCAAACCACACCCCCCAACTCCCCACACATGGCCTGAGCACTCCTATCCCATTGTATGAGAATACACCCATTCACTAATTACATTCAAATGGAAGAGAAGAGCAGAGTCAGAGAAGGCTTGTCACAAGGACTGAGATACAGCTTCTCTCCAGTGCTCTGGGGAAGGATGATGCTATAATGGCCACTCCCAGCTTCTGCCGTCCACCACATGGAGAGTGTTTCCCCATAAGGCCTAATGGTCCGCATGTCCAGGACTGATGCATGGCTGCTGTCTAGAGGAAGCAGAGTTGCACAGGCTTCAGTCAGGCAAGCTCTGGGGAACACCTGAGTGCTGCCCCAGAGCCCCAGCTGACCACCATGCTAGTCCCCGGTCCCCTTGTGTCCCTCCGCTGAAAGAAAGGTGCAGTGGTGAGGTTGCTCTTCTCTCCTCAGTTCCACTCCTGCCTGGCAGTGTGACATTGGAGCACCAATTAAAGTCTATGTGCCTCAGCCTCCTCTGGCACTCAGGGTTCTTGGGAAGTACCTAAAATCCTTAGACCATGACAGGGATTTTTCTTGGCCGGTGCTTTTGAGGAGACAGTCCTGTAGGAGCGCTTTCAGAAGCTGGCAGATGCTGGATACTCGGGAACTGCTGGTTGCTTGTCCTTTTCAGAAGCTTGGAGGAATAGAGACTCTGCTGACCGCACAGTACTTTGAGCTGCTCTTCCACTAGGTGGGACCCAGATCCACAAGACTTAGCAGGCTGAGCCATGAAGTCACCATGGCATGTCCAGCAGAGGCACCTTCTTCTGCCTAGGCACTGGGTAGCAGCAGCAAGAGTTGAATCGAGGCCAGGCGTGGTGGCTCATGCCTGTAATCTCAGCACTTTGGGAGGCTGAGTCGGGATGATAGCGTGGGTCCAGGAGTTCGAGACCAGCCTGGGCAACATGGCAAAACTACTTCTCTACAAAAAATACAGCAATTAATCAGACATAGTGCCTGTAGTCCCAGCTACCCATGAGGCTGAAGCAGGAGGATTGCTTGAGCCAGGAGGTCGAGGCTGCAGTGAGCTATGATGTTGTCCCTGTACTCCAGCCTGGGCAACAAAGTCAGAGCCTGGCTAAAAAAAAAAAAAAGAGTTGAATCTGTGTTCTCCTGGGACTTCTAAACAAGAAGTAAGCAGATGAGACCATTGCAGGTAGCTGCTATGGAGAAATTTAAACAGGATAATACAAGGCAGTTGACCGCAGAGGAGAATGGAGAAGAATTTGTTAGAGGGGAAGTATTTGGCCTGATACTTGAATGTTGAGGCATCAGCCCTGCAGAGATTTAGGGGAGTGGCAGGGCGAAGGCTTGATGTAAGATGCCCGGGCATTTCCAAGACATGTAAGAAGGCCCAGGAGGCTGGAGGGCAGTGAGTAAGGGGTGGTGTTGCAGGAGGCGAGGCCAGAGTGGCAGGCAGGTGGGCCCCACTCACCGTGCTCCCTGTCCTTGGAAAGGACTGGTTGTTGTCACATCTGCAGAGGGAAGTCCTCAGGGGGTTTCAGGCAGGGCAGGAATGTGTTGTCCGACTTAGGCATCAGAGGATGATTTTGGCTGCTGTGGAGAATGGTCAGGGGTTAGCAGGAGGTGATGTGTGGAAGGAGGGAGACCAGTCAGCTGGGAACGATGGTGAGAAACAGCGGTGGCATGGACTAGATGGGCCAGGGCGGGTGGCACGAACTCGATGCACTAGAAGGTAGAGCCAACCCGAAGTACTGATGGCTGGGTGGGAGGCCAAGGGACAGCACGGTCAACCAGATGATTCTGTGCTGATTCCTCTGTCTTTGTATCCAAAAGAAATGGGCTTTGGAGGGAATAAACCCAGTCTCGTCAGTTCCCTGTCCTTTGTGGTCTGTGGAAGTGTGACGTGACGGTCTGAGACGTGGGATTGCAGACTTCCTTAGCCCCCCCATACACATACACACTAACACACGCCACATGCCAGCCTGGGCCTCCCCCAGTCTGTCACTTCCTCTGTAAAGCATCGGTCACAGCCTCTGCATCCACATACCCTGACCGGCCGGAGAACCGTACTCACCCCCGCCACGCTGTCTTGCAGACTTTCCGCCTCTACTTTACTTTTGTTTCTCTCATCAAGTGGTGTGAAATCCGTTTTGCATTTGATAAGTAGCCAGGCTGGAAGTCCACCCTCTTGGTCGGGCTTAGCCTCAGTCCTCTTCCGTGTAGCCCCAGGCACCAGGAAGCCTCCCAGGCCATTTGCAGCACCAGCAGCTGGTGCAGGGTTGGGGTGCAGAGGTGCATTCAGACAGGCCTCCTCCTGGAGTGTTTCTTGCAATGTGGCTTCGTGTGGCAGCAGGTGTGGTATCATCAGCCTCCTGACCACATGCAGAGAAACCCCTGAGAATTTCCCACGCTGCCACCTTGATGGTTTCCCCTTCACGCCATTCTCCTTGCCTAACCTCCGGTCAGCACGGGCTATAGTCAGATGCTCAGAAGCAACACCGAGAATCTTCTTTCGGTTCTTCGATCCCATCCCTGCCCTGTGATGGCAGACACCTTCTCCTCCCTAAACCCTCACCCTGAATGACCCTTCGGCCTCTGGGAAGTAGATTTCGCAGCAGAAGATACATGTCCAAGTCCACAGAGCCACTGCTCTGACTGCATGTCCCCATCTGAACCGAGGGTAGTGGCCGCAAACAAGGAAGGCCCCTTGGGTCCCTCCCTCTAACCCTGGTAGCAGGGTCATGGAATGCTGCTCCCTGGACAGAGCCAGGGAAGTGACTCACCAGGCTTATGACATTGTGACAGCGAGCTTAAGCACACATGTCCCCTGCTTTCTATATGAGACCAGGGCTGGCTTTGTGCGGAGATTGTTACAGAAAGCGTGTTCATCATCCCTAGTTCAGCAGCTGTGTACTGTGAGCGCTGGTGAGGTGAGCCTGCCAGCGCCCTCCGGAGTGCCGCGTAAGGCCACATTGAGTTAGATGAGTCTGCCTGGAAGATGCTCAGGCAGGCAGGGAAAAGAGACACACACACCGCCAGCTGGGAACACAGCGCCTGCATTTGGGATGGGAAAGAGAGCTTAGGGGAGAAGTGGGCATTTCACGTCGTTCTCACCACAATGATTTGGTGGGCTCATAGCCTGTCCAAATGAAGGCTTCCCATGGCCACCCTCAGGCCCTTCCTTTTTGTCTGTGTAGGATTTCTACGTGGTGGTTTCCAAGCACCATCTGTACGGATTCATTCCAGTTTTTGGACAGAATGCGGGCTGCCAGCAAGTTGGATCGGCCTGATCGTTTCTCTTTCAAAGACCAGGATAATAACAAGCCCACGAATGACATGGTGGCCTTTCATTGGACGGCCCTGGGGGAAATTGTGTGGCCGTCCTGACCGTCTTCTCTCTGAGCCTTATTTCCGTGGACACCAGGATCCTGGAGCAGATCATCATGGTAGACAGATCAATGGTGGAGAATGAGGTCATCAAAGGTAAGAGCCGGGCGTCCGCGACATCGGGTCTGGACACATGCTAGGCATTGGCCAGACACAGGCGAGCAAGGGTCAGCAGTGCCTTCTGGGAGCTTGCAGGATGGGCTTTGCAGATGAGTGACAGGATTACAGTCCAGTCCAAGGCATCCTCTACTGGTGCCTCCCGGGTGCTATGGGAATCCACCAAAGAGAAGGATGCAGCACAGCGGGCAAGGGGAGGGGCAGGGAAGAGAAGGGAGGATTGGTCCTGAGGGCCTGGCAACGGAACTGGGGCTTTGCAGGAAGTGGGTGTTTCTGGACTGAGAGATGGGCAAGAGGAACAGTCCTCACAGAGATGTGGATATGTGACAAGGGGTGAGCAGGGTGCACTGGAAGGTGGGGAGGGGGATGCATCTGGAGCAGCCATACACCCCAGCCGTGGTAATGAAGCACAGCCAGATGCTGGGGTGGCCACCGCTGCTGGGACCACTGCTGAGGCCCAGCCACAGGGGCCTCTCAAGGGAGGGGACAGGTACAGTAGCAGCAGGCTGGCTGTTGCTCAGGCTGGAGCGCAATGGCGTGATGATAGCTCACTGTCACCTCAAGCTCCTGGGCTCAGGTCGTCTTCCTGCCTCAGTCTCCTAGGTAGTAATTTGGTATGTGCCACCATAACCAGCTAATTTTTAAACATTTTATAGAGACAGGGCCTCACTCAGTTGCCCGCTAATCTCAGACCTCAAGGGATCCTCCCAACATGGCCTCCCGAAGCTCTGAGACAACAGGCATAACACATGCCCTGCCTAGTGTGTATAATATTCTAAATCCTTCTTTGTCATTTCAACAGTGTTCTTAGCATCTTTACCAGGAGTAGTTTCTATGTCATGAAACTCAAGAAAAAACTTTGCTCATCTATAAGAAGCAAACTCATCTGTTCAAGGTTGATTGAGATTGCAGCAATTCCATCCCTTCTTCAGGCTCCGCCTCTACTTCTAGTTCTCTTGTTTCTTTTCACTGCATC